GTCAGAGTACGAGCAATATTCGATGACGGCGCAATGACCAGTGCAATGTGCACGTCGATCTTCGAGAAGATCAAGCACAGATTGGGAAACTGGAGCGCATCAGACAAACGATTAAGGATGGCAAATGGAAATATAGTCAAAGCAATCGCAAAGTGGACGGGAATGATTAGGATTGAAGAAGTCGGAGTGCGGAGCACGTTTGAAGTCTTTGACAGTGGCGGAAGCTGGGGCTTCTTACTAGGAAAACCGACACTTCAAACATTCGCAGCAATTCACGAATACGAAACAGACACGATCGTGATAACCGACGGAATCAAAACAGTCGCAATAGAAAACTGGATAGCGGACAAGCGGATGTTACAGAGAGCAGATGCAGTCAGTCTCACGCTAGACGAGAAACAACAAAGGACGTTAGAAAACAAAACAAAACCATCAAACATCCCAATGGGCCAATGGAAGCCGACAGGATACTGGATCAGAAAGAAGAGAGAGAGCGCGTCAAAAGAAAGAACAGCAGAAAAAGAGAATAACACATCAAAGGGAGTGACAGCGGCCAGAGTATCGAGAGAACAATCAAGCACTGACACACATAATCTAACAGAAGAAACAACGAGCATCAACATATTAAACGCACAAGAAGGACCAGACGAAGGAGGAGAGCAACTATTAGAAGAACTTCCAGAGTTAGAACCGATGAGGAACGACGCGTCAATATACTCAAGACAAACGAATCCATTTAATCCGGCAAGAGTCAAAGAAATTCTCCGACAGATCACGTTCGGAACGACCTGACAGTAGACGAGAAAAAGGAGTTAGAACAGTTTATAGCGGAAAACGCAGACAGTTTTGCACTAACGCTAAGAGAAGTAGTCCCTATTCCTGGAGCAGCGCTGAATTTAAACGTTCCAGATAACGCAATATTCAACCTACGGATACATCAACGCCCTTTAACGCCCGAACAAGCGAAGTTTTACAATGAGCGAGTAACGGACATGTTGGAAGCAGGTATAGTAGAGAGAGCATCCCCAGAACTGATTCGATGTGTAGCAACCACGGTTATAGCGCAAAGAGCACACGAAACGGGCGGTCTACCATGGGACGAGCTAAAGCAACGAATCAACGACCAACATAGAGCAGCGGGACTACAACCAGCCTATGAGTTACCGCCACGAGAGATACAGAATCCTACCTTAGAAGAAACAAGAGAAAAAGGACCGAAAAAATGGAGGATCTGTCAGAATTTCGCGCAGCTTAACAAAATAACGGAAGTAGTCCCAATGCCGCAGGGGGATATATTAGCAAAACAACAGAGGTTAAGTGGTCAACGTTACATCTCAATTTTTGACTTCGCAGCAGGGTATTATGCGATAGAAGTGCCGGAGAAGTGGCGTCCATATTTAGCGTTCTACATCGAAGGAAGAGGGTACTTTCAATATCGACGAATGCCGATGGGAATTACAGGAGCACCGACAGCGTTCTGCGATACATTAGCAGAAAGGCTACACGATTTCCTAGTGACGCACTATATGGAATTGTTCATGGACGACGGAGGATGCGCGACAGGTACGTTTAGAGAAATGATGGATAAGCTAACAGTTTTGTTCCAACGTTTTCGAGAATGTCGATTTTCAATAGCTCCGAGCAAGACAAAGCTTTGCATGTCAGAGACCGAGTTCGCAGGAGGAACGATAGGAAGAGAAGGAGTGAAACCAGATCTAACAAAGCTGACAGCCATTGTAGACTGGCGACAACCCGAAGACGCACAGAACTTAGCCTCGTTTTTAGGACTAACAGGATTCTACAGAACGTTAATCAATGCATACGCGAAAAGAGAAGGCCCACTAAGAGATTTACTACTGCAAGCACCCATAGACAGCACAATGTCCAAAACAGCGTATCGACGAGCCATGAGCGGCTTCAAGTTAAGTACTATTTGGACGCAGGAACATACTAAAGCATTTTTAGATCTAAAAACGGCGATTACATCAAGACCAGTATTACACGCACCAAGATACGATGGGTCGCACTTCATAGTGACATCGGACGGATGTATAGAAGGCTTCGCAGCGGTCCTAGCACAGAGAATCAAGACGCGAACATCAGCAGGGAAATGGGTCGAACGTCTATATCCTCTAGGCTTCGCATCAAAACGGACATCAGCGACAGAAAAGAAGTACAAATCGTACTTACTAGAATTCGCGGCGCTCAAATTCGGGTTGGATAAATTCTCGAGCATCATCTGGGGATTTCCGGTCAAGATTGAAACAGACTGCAGGGCGATGAGAGACACGCTGCTGAATCCGCATCTGAACGTAGTACACGCAAGATGGAGAGAGGGAATATTAGCGTATCATATAGTGGACATAAGGCACGTACCAGGAAAGCTGAATGTCGTTGCTGATGGCCTTAGCAGAAAATGGGAAAACACCGCTCCAGTAGCAGGAGACGGAAACGAGTGGACGGTAAGCGAAGACTGGGAAGCAAGGATAGGACTAATTAACGACATCATGAACGTTACGACGGTGGACGCACAAGTAGACAAGCTTCGCACACGATTCGAGAACGAGCCAGTATTCAAGGAAGTCGTAGAAGCTATATGTAACCTAGATCAAGCCACGGAGATCAGAGAGAAACGGCGAGCAAGACACAGAGCAGAACAGTACGTTATAGAAGAAGGGAGGCTCTGGAAGCTACGAGGTGGCACAACGACGAGAGCCAGGACAAGAGTAGAATGTGTCTCGAGAGGAGAAGCCAAGGTACTAGCAGCACAAGAGCATGCAGAAGGAGGCCACTGGGGACGAGATGCGATCAAAATCGCATTACTGGACCGAATATGCAGCCCCAAGCTAGACGCGTCAATCCTAGATGCCATCAAAGACTGCGCAAAATGCAAGAACTTCGGACCGACGCACATAAATTCGCTACTAGAGCCAATAACCAGGCGGCACCCATTCGAACTGTTAGTTGGAGACTATCTCACCCTCCCGAAAGGGAAAGGAGGATACAATATGCTCGGCGTGTACTTGGACACGTTTTCGCAGCATATCTGGGTGTTTAAATATAAAACATCAGGTAGTGCAAAAACGACGATTGAAGGACTCAAGAACATCTTCAACGCATTCACAACACCGGAAACATTCATGGCGGACGGTGGCAAGCACTTCAACAACGAAGCAGTGAAGGACTTCTGCGAATCGAAGAAATGCAAAGTACACATCGTAGCGGCGTACTCCCCGTGGATCAACGGCCTTGTAGAAGGAACAAATAAGCTTTTACTACACGTTTTAAAACGCTTATGCGCACCAAGTTTAGGAGAAGATCAAAGTCAAGGACAAAAAACGACAGAAAGCGGCTTGACACAATCGTGGCCAGACCATCTGGAGGATGCGGTGCACGCTCTTAACTATCGATTATTGCCAGCGCTGAAATTTTCTCCAAAGGAACTTCTTTTAGGATTAGTAGTCAACACACCGAAGACGAATGTAGAAGAAAGCGTGTCAGCGACACGCACTTCAGACCCACTAACTCAAATAGCATACGTCGAACAACAACGGTTGGACGGATACGATGAAGTAGTGCGACATGCGATCAAGAGGAAGGCAGCATTTGATAAAAAGTTGCTACAACGAGCGCCAGGTGAGGTTATATTTCGAATCGGACAACTAGTTCAAGTATATCGCAATGATTTAGATTATACGTTCAAAGCGGAATGAAAGCTCATACCAAAATGGTCAATCCCAAGGCGTATACGAGAGAAGATCCTAAACTCGTACAAGCTTGAAGCGCTGAACGGAATCCCAGTTCAAGGAGAGTTTAGTGCAAGACGACTCAGAGCATTCACCCCGAGAACGGGAACGAAGTTAGCAAGAGAACAAGAAGAGCATGAACGCAGAATCAGAGAGAGGAGACGACGACACGGAAGCAGATACAGAAGATAGAACGGAGAAAGAATCAGAGAAACAGAAGGGACATGAAGAAGAAGAGAACGACCAGACAAGAGACGAAGCGGATGAAGAAGAGAACGAATAGGACAATAGAAGTGATAGTAGGAAGAACGCCGAGGACGGCGTTGGTTGTTTTTTAGGGGGGTGCATGGCCCGGGGGTCCCAAGGCATAGACCAAAGGAAGAGACATAGACAAGAGGCAGTTGGTCCTTCGGCGATAGCCATAGCTTAGTCAGCGACACGCGCACATAGCCAAACTCTGTTCATAGTGTAACACATCATCACGCATCATAGAGCTCTCCCCTCACTGCTTTCGTCCTAGTCCACCGTCCCAAGCAATCTTTCCTCCCCAGTCAATGGGACCATGTATATATCGACGATAGGCTGGACTCGGCGGTCGGGGACATACTTTATTTCTATCCTTCCCTTCACCGTCATCACCATCCTCATGTTCGCCTGCGCTTTGTATAGCATCATGGAGGCTCAGAAAGGGAACAGCGGCTATAAGACCAACTTCGATCCGTCGAACCCCCTTCACCTGATTATGGCTTCCGCCGACGCAGGGAAGGCATCCCCCGTGGCACCCGCTGACGGGAGTCTGAGACTCCAAGGTTTCGACGATATTGGGATCACCGCTAACGAGCGCGTGAGGGTGCAGCTACAAGACGATGGTGTGGGGAAGAAGTTTGTGAACGTTGGTTGAAGGAAGCTCGTATAATTTTGGGTACCACATCAGTAGACGCTTGCTGTATTAGAGTTCGATATTCACCAGAGCCCGTATCGAGAAAAAATGGCTGTCAGTCTATTCCCTGGAATGCGCGTCGATGTCTTTGCGATCACTACTTTTTGTTCGGTCCCTCGCGAAGTCAAACCTCCTTCAATGGACCGATGTTCGTCCTTGTAATTTTAGAGGTCATAATGATTGTGTTCAAGCCATGGCTTCGAAGGTGTCGCAGATTTGGCACAGGTCATGCCACAATTTGATTGGTGCCCAGAGCGAGTATAAGTATAAAGATCTCATATAGACTCGAGCCCACAACCCTCCAGCACTCCACGATGTCAAACCATCAAGCACTTGTCGAAACGCTCTTGATGAAATCAATTCTTGGCCAAGAGCTCGTGAATACGAAGTTCCACATGTTCTCAGGCCGTCGCTCAACAAATCTACGTAAAGTCTTTCGACTCCAAGCCTTGTCCGCCAACGACGTTGTTCTGACAGCGCGTTCCGAGTTTTTTTGCCGAGCGTAACTTTTCCTTCTCATGAAGGTGGCGACCTCGCTCATTGGAGTCGACAGTTCTTGAAGATGAAGAAGAGGTCAAAGCTAATCATACGCCTCCCAGCGATGTGACTACCGTCCTCGAAGGTAAGTGATTCAAGACAATATCAGCAACGTAAATCTTCATACCTTTGGCGGCCTTTTCAAGGAAACATCAGTGAATCAGAGGATCATGAAGACGATGACTCACTGGTTGTGGCCGACACTATGTGCGAAAGCGATGCCTTGGCTGGCCCACCACAAGTAGAAACCCTTATCACCCTTACTCCAATTCATATAAACCACAAGTACTACCGGAACTTCCATACTCGTGCGAGACACGGCATTGAAAACGTAAGTTACATGTCATCACAATTATGGCGGGCCTTTAATTTCGTATATGTAGGTTGAAAGCGCTCTTGCGCAGCTGTATCTGTATACAGACAAGATCTCCTTCTCCCCACTCAAGTCGCAGGGACCGCCCAAAACTGATGCGGAGACCCCAAACCCTAGCACTTCGTGGCCTTGCTCACCGAAGTCGATGTATCGTTTAGCTTCCAAGGTTTCGAGTAAATTTACCTGGTACTCTCCACATATCTTAATACACAATTGTCAGGTTCGACTCGACAGCCTTCGCGATCAAGCTTTCCGTGCAATACGAAGTAGTTTGGATGCGGGAAATATTCTCCAAGAACTTTCTTCATCATTTACATCCAAGTCGGCCTTTTTTGATCATGGCATAGCACAGTGCTAACCAGCTTCGCATGTCAGGTATCCCGCAATCCTGCAAATGAATGTAGAAGTTCTACTCCAGCATATCGCGTCTATTCCTGTCATCCAGAATATCCCTTCGCTGCTCAGGAGGATCAATGACTCACAATTGCCCCATGGAGCGGACATTATCATCGATTTGTACCAGAAATTTCTGCTGCAGTACCATCCTCAGGCGTTTGCACTTGCGAATGCACCGATTGGGAGCACATCACCTCCTCAGAGGACTGATAGTGTCTTGAATACACCGATTGGGAGCACATCGCCTCCTCAGAGGACTGATAGTGCCTTGAATGCACCGATTGGGAGCACATCGCCTTTGCGGAAGACTCATAATGCCTCGAAAGCCAATAGAGGTCCTAGGAAAAATTATCATGCTTCATACTGGTGACCAGGCCGCAGCGACCGCAAGTTAGAAAACATCAACGCTTCAAAACAGACCCTACTATTCGTATCATACCTTTTCCCCCTTATCTCGCACACCACACAAGACAGTTCATAGAGCACCCCGTCTTGAGTACTAGTCTCGTTTGTTTGTGGCGGTATAGAAACACTCCCTTAATATATATATATATTAAAAATCCTAGTCCTCCGCTGGGGCTGAGCCCTATGGTAAACATTACCTACATATATAATTTACAAGCCCTCCCGACACCTGCTGGTCACAATTCTGTAGTCTGCGTAGCTGATATGCACTGGACGTCGATGGTGTCGGGATGTAAGACACCCTCTGAAATGGGCAACATCCCGTGATGCTCGACGGAGTCTGCACGTTTGGAGCTCCCCCAGAAGACAGTGGTTCTAGGTATGAGCTAAGGGTGAATGGAGCAGTAGGTTCTGTGCGTCTTTGCCGAACTTGAATGTCGACTACACTCGTTGGTACTGAGGGAAAGGCCTATGTAACGGGAGGCAGGAGTTTGTGTGTTTACAGATAGCTTGAGGCAGGTCTGGTACACGTCCGCGGATGAGTCCGGCTGTCCATTATACTTCATAGATCGGTGCATACATTGTCAAATATCAAACAAGACATACCGGCCAACATACACGTAGATTGGGAGGGCTTGCGTGCGTCTTATTGGATTATGACAAAATTCGCCCCAAGAACACTTGAATACTGACTCATGATCGGAATGGACAAACTTCTTGTTGCCTCAAGAGTCGTAGTGGCATCCGGTTCTGTGCGCTACCGTTCAACTGGGCCCTCTTTCGACCCTTCCCACCCTGGCGCCTACTGTGATGAGTGATGTCGTTCAGGTCGGCTCCTTCTCGGTTCGTAGCAAGCTCCCTGGTGTCTTTCGAAAGTGTTGAGATCATACAGCGTTAACGGTCATGATGTGAATGACGAAGTACATGACCCTGCGCCTGGAACGTATACGATAGCATGCTTTGGCAAGAATACAGTGAGTATGAGGACTTACAGTGTAAACCAAGACTCACCAGTTTGAAAAGATATACGTGGTTGCGTGCCTTAGATCTAGCCATTTTGAAAAAAAATGTCGACAGAGTCGCGTGACATAGCGTTGAACGCCGGGTGCATGGTATGAGCGAGATTATCCGAGTCTCTACTCTCGGGCCGGTGTCAAAATCTTCGTGGTGGCTTATGCCAGCAGCCATTTTCCCGGATATCCAGCAGCATGGTCAATAAACTGGGCGAAGTAAATGTTGTATCCGTAGTTGGATGTGATAGCCTTCTGCAAGGAGTAGACAGTGCGTTTGGAAAGGAAGAAATTGTGGATGCTGAATTGAAATGGAGAGAAGCACCGCAGTTTAAGTATTAGTGTGCTTGGGTGCTCATTAAGCCACCACGTCTGCATTTTTGGTTGAGGGTCTCTCACTGGAAGAGGGTCTTCGTCGGTTCGTTCGACGTCACTACCGACAGTCTCTTGTAACCTTAACTTTAAACGTACACAGCTCTCGGTTAATTCCGCGTCAATGGTAATGGTGAGATGAATCATGGCATTGAGCTTAAAAACGTTTATTTTCTCATAAATTTTAAGCAATGGTTCGGTACTCAATCTCTCTGTCCGCCTTCTCTTGCTTCGTGCGATGATACTCACGCTCCCCTGGAGTTCCCATTGACCCCTGCGCATGCCATGACACAAATCATTACTGCCACCGATGCAAATAGTTTTTTCTCGACTTTGGCCAAGGCCGAGACCCCGTCGTCCTGGTTTTACTATGGTAAGTACCATTGTTAGATAACGAGGGTCAAGTCACCTGCCTTGGCACCATAGCACAGATCGGATGGAATCAGCTTGGGTCATTGCCGTGATAGGTCGGTTCCACAAAGCGTACAACCTGATTGCGGATATACCGCACGGGGGGAGCCACGACTCGGGTATACGTTCTTTCGGGAACATCCCGCAGTTTATGCGATACCCAACGCATTGATTTGGAGGCTATCGTACATCAACGCGAACGCAAATGACGTAGCGAGAAATGTACTGGTGGTGAAGCACGTAGACGAGGAAGAACGACTTGATGAACTGCGAGGAAGCTAGCATGCTGTGGGTCAGTAGGATCATAAGGCAGTATGAACCGCAAATATCCAGCTATACATGTACAGATCTGACCTGAGAAAAATCTTTAGGCTACGGCTGAACACAAACGCGAACATAGATACTTATTCATGACCTCACAACAGAGCGATGTCGACGAGACAATGCGGATAGACGTGTATGAGTGTATAAGATGCGAGTCAGTGGGAGCGTAATCCGTACAGCTGGTTACTCAAGCTCAAGCTTCAAGCTGCAAACGTTGCATGCAGTATGTGATTATCTCTTGCTACGAAAGGAAAACAAACTTAGCGGGTGGTATGGAACTCCCTCTTGCCGCCCGCATGAAGTGCGAAAACTGTGCACTCGCTGGTGACTGATAGTGACACGGCCGTCTTCTATATTGTATCGAAAGGCGATCAAAAATGATCAGCCAACGTAACTTTGGTCAAGTAGTATACCCAAGTCTGCGTCAATCATACGAGCTGAATATGAACCGAGTCAGGCAAAGTTTACATTGAAAAGACCACATGCCAATGTTACATTAGGTCGATCATGTGCCAAGGGAAACGCATGGGACACACGGTAGTGGTTCAAGGGTAGCTTGCGGATATTGTCGTCGTTGTCTCTGTCAGAGGATGACTAAACCTGTCGACCATGCCTGCGGATGAGAGAATCTGGTAAATCGGTGTCGTCCATATTTTCTAAACAAGTAATGGTTCCCTTGATGAAGTTCTAGATGTGCACGTAGAATCAATCCTCGATAGAAAGTCTTCCAGGTTCCGGAGCACGGAGAAAGCGCATAGGTCCTATTGCTGGCAAACGCGCTGATTTGGTGGTTTGGGGGTGCAGAAAACAGTACGTATGCTCGGGTCCCAAGGAATCTCGACATGTCACGGTGTTTCTCAGAGCCTTGAGTGCACGCACGCCACTGTCTGTCTAGACAGAAACTCAGGATATGGTGAGGAGGATGAGAGTCTCTAAGGCCGAGAGGGAGCGACTTTGGTATTAAATTGAAGCCGTGTACCAATCTGGGAACCTGAAGAGTATGAGTCAAGACTGAGAATTCGAAGAAGGCTTACTATCATGTGGACTGAGTAGATACGAAGCAGTGAGACACAGCGACAGACTCGCCCTCCCAAAATTTTGTCTTTGTACCCATTCGACTTCAACCTGAACCCGAGCCTACCAGTACTTGGTGTCAATGAACGCTGAGTAATTGGGATTTACTGTAGCCCTTCTGATTTGAAACTTTTGGGGTGGGTTGTAGACGACGTCTGACAGAATTGTGAACGTCGGATGCGTCGCAGGTCTCACGTGAGTCCGTGACTGACTTGGCACGACTCGGACTCATCAATGAATTTCATTTCATACATTTCATGAACCCTATATTTGCTTACTAATCAGCCAAGTTGACTTCAGACAGCCTAGCCTATGTGCCCTGATGCCTCGCCAATGCCAGCCGATGTCTCGCTGGCTAGCTTGCTGGCTCTGTCTTGGCTTGCATGACAGATTTACTCCAGACAGGATTGCCCTTTTTCTATCGTTGAGTACCCGAGTACATCTAATTAATTTCAAAGTGTGGTTTTGGTAGAAAAGTCTTGCCTTGCTGGCATTCCCCCTCAGTGTTTCTTTCTTTCTTCGTAAAAGTCTTCAGCGTCAGCCTGTTCCGAGTCGCGTGCCCTTTCCTACATTCCTTTCTTCACTCTCATTCCTCGCCTCAATCTATCAAGGACCGCCGCAGAAGACGAGATTTTCATCTTCTAAATGGAGGCTCTGGGGCGGCGTGTCGTCGTAGACAGCCTAACCTCTGAAAAATATTTGCGAGTAGCATCCATCTCAGTTGCATTTTACGAGTAAGTAGCAGTTTTATCTCCTTGTTGCGGCCCCGTAGTTGTCACAATATTCTAACAAGTTACGTTCAGTTATGTTATTACACTCCCTGCAGAATGGCGCTTTTACCGAAGCCAATCGTCAATTTTTCATATAAGGTATGTATACCCTGGCATATTTTCACGTATCACCGTTGACAAGCTCATTTTTCATCAGTCTTGCCTGCACCTTGTTCATTCTTATACGGTACGTTTGTCCTCAGTTTGTCTTGTGATTTTTTTTGCTCACTTTCAATACAGCTATATCAGTATCATGGCTATAGTAATTAGCAATTATGGATTCTTCTCTACCGCCTATACCCTACAGACGTGTCAACAGTACTATCTTGTGGCGCCTGTATTCAAAGGTCTGTCCTACCGGTGTTCACCTACCATAACTTTATTGACCATGCCGTAGCCATACAAACAATGGTATCACAGGCCATCCTAGGTATCAGGTATGTCCTGTCGAATATTTTATGGGTTGCAGCTGCACAGACTGAAAAATCGCTTAGAGCATTCAATATTGCAAGAAGAGATAGGCGGATAGGAGTCATACTATTGCTGCTATACTTCCTGTCGACTTCAGTGGGTTCTTACAACACAAGTATGATTGCCTTTCTCTGATTTCTATTAGGCGGAGTGGTTTTCTGACATGTTTCACCGGACTCGTAAGCTCTGCCTTATATGTTAATCTGAGTTCTCATTGACCTTTACGATACACAGCTGTTGTCGATGATGTACGTCAATTTTCCTTACAACAAGATCTCATGCAAACAGTATCCCTTTCTTAGGGAAAGTAAGTGGTCATTTACCACCAGTGTGGGCTGTTCAGATCTTCATGAACCATAGCTGCACCTCGGGAGATTCTGGTAAAGTATTGTCAACCTGGTTCTATTACCTCGCTGTGTTAGTGTATGACATTGTCATGGTGACAATTTCTACCGTGCATCTTCTGCGTTACAATCCTCTCAGTAGCAGGTAAGTCTTTTCCTTCCCGTCTTTCGGGTCGCTAAACCATTGCTGTCAGGGTAGAACAGCTAATACGGGTGTAAGTCCCTTACCACTGGCAGAGTCGATGTGCATCACTCATTGTACTTAGCCTGATCTATGACGGCATCGGATATTTCATCGTGTTGTCCGGCAAGCATATTCTGCTTGTGATGAGCACTCTTCTAACATTACTTCAGCGGCGAACGTATTGAATCTCATCCTATATCGTACGACTAATATCTATACTCAGGTATGTAGGCTCAACTTCGAATATACCATGGAGACTCACACCGACTTGCTCCTATTATTAGTCGGCAGGGTAAGTTTTGTATCATCTGGCGTCAAGGAGATCAGACCCCTCAAAATGCATTAGGGCATCAGTAGGTTATGCTTTAACGTGGATTATGAGCCAACGGATTCTCATCAATATACGAGGTACGCACCATTCTAGAGCTTGACTGCTATTCCACTAAGGCTCGCGATGCTCATTCTTTCCATTTCTTCCGCTCCGATCACCCAAATACGCAAAGGAATGTCAGAGCCAAATGCCCAACGCTTGGAAAACGTGATCGTCGCGCGTCCCACACTTACTGCGCAGAAAAAAATGATGTCCGGTCTCCGCTCCCAGTTCGAGTCCAAGAGCCACTCCAAAGGCTCCAGCGGCTCCAAAAACCCCGTCGATGCAGGGCTTAGGGCAAAATCGCCTCGCAATTCCAACGACATGGAACTCGGTATACACGTACGCGTCGAGCGCTCGGTGATGATAGATTACAGGGAGGCAATCTGAGCAATCTAGCTCGTGGGCAAAATGAATCTGAGGCACTGGCGCCTCAGAAGAAGGAACGACTATTTGCTACGGGATAATACCCAATATACGATATTAACGTGTATATCCACCCGGTGCTACTACGGAAATTTCAGTCCCCGTTCACAACAAAATGCGCATATATATTCGGTGAGCTGTTCAACATTCGCTGCTTACTCTAAGAGACATTCAGTGCTATATAAAATAGCCTACATTCTGACCATTCTCGCCTGTTTATGTTCCCGTGTCACGCGAGCTATTCTTCATGTTGGAGTATATTGTCAAGCGCCGTAATTACAAGTCGTTGATCGGCCTTCGATCGACTCGCCTCCCTTGCGTTATCTGCATTTCATCCTTTTACCACTGCGAGTGCGTCTCCCTATGAATCTTCACTATTTTCGCTCGCTTGCATTTCGGGCTTACTACAGACAGGTTTCCATGGTCTTCTTTGAAGAGAAACTGTAGTCCAATACACATGCATGTGGTATCACATATACGAAGTACAATGAAAATCGCTCAGATCCCTCATCTTCGAGAAAAAATATACATCTACAATATCTCTATCGTCTTAATGTCCATCAAGTCTTGAACAGAAGACACATCTTTGACCTGCGCAATGATATCACCATCCGACGCAACCCTCTTGTATTCTCCACCACGCTGCCGCGCTAGCAAAAAGGCGCCAAAAGGCTGCCCAAGGCGAACGAGCAACCGCAATGCTCGCAATTCTAGATCAACCCCATCCTGTTTTACAGGAGAATGGCTAGGTGAGTCGTCTGACGGAGACGAAGGTGGAGTCCGATAATCCCCCTCGCTCTCGGTATCGTCTAGCAGATTTGCAAAGTCTGGTAGTTCGAGGAGAGACCGATCCCAGGGACGGACAAGCAGGAAGGTTTGATTGACGGGCCTGGTCCGTGAGTGAATATTCAGCTCTTTGGTAGTGATCAGCAGGTCACGGAGCCCGTCTGCCTTGACTTTACATCGAGTCTCCTGGGATGGACCGTGCCTCAGACTAACTTCTGTGACACGGAATGCCATGCAAGGCAGATGCAGCCTGCAGTTCGCGAAACGAGCAGCGCTTGTGTTATCAAGCCGGTCGTAAAGTTCCGAAGCCAGATCCACAACATCGGGATTTTTTCGCAGCGAAGAGACCTGTGTCTGAATATCGTCTTCAGACAAAGATGAAAGGGCACATGGAGGAGTGGTGTAAGAGGTAATATGCGCTGGAAGACAGCTATTGAACTCGGAAGGTTGTCCGATCCAGTCGAGGACAGTGATGTCCCCCGACCGAGCTACGATCTCCTGTAGGAGCCGTCCGAGCGCGTTCTGTTTCTTCTCGCCATAAATGACAGGTAGAGTGATACCGAAGATACCAAATAATGAGTACGCAATGTCCTCCTGCAGAGTGGTGACGCGCTTCGATGCCCATTGCAGTTTCTCTCGGGCACCCCTCATACCTGGACTGAAGTTCACCAAAGCCCGTGCATCTATGCCCGTCGCATCCTCCAACTCCTTCATGATTGCAGGGGACTCTTTGTGGTTGGGAGAGCGGTCGCCGAGATATAACGACCAATCTTTCTGATAAAATATAACAACTTGCGGAGCAACTAACTCTTGGAAGGTCCATCCTCGCTCGTTCCAAACACTCCCCACCAGTGCACCGGGCTGAGATGAAGAAGGGATATCGGATAGGTAGACGATGGTAAGCGCTGAGTTGCGGTACCAGATGAACATGGAGTTGATCGATTCTTGAAGCTCCGTAATATTGCTCTTCTTGTCGATACAGCACGTGTCCATCCATGCCCAGTAATATCCAGCATTACGAACGACTTTGCAGAACGACTGCAGTTTCGCGATGCCACCAAGTCCATCCAACTCGTACACGACTTTATCCTGAATGTCGTGCAGCAACACCTCCGTCTCTTCCCACCTGTGTGATAGCAGGACGCAGCGGAAGTACGTCGCCACTACGTCTTTGATGCGCTGCGTTCGGAGGTTTGAATCTTCCGTCGGAAACGTGATAAGCTCATTATACTCTGAACTCATTTTGAAAGAGTTTAGCTGTGCTGCTCGGTCACACAAAAGACCCGTAGAGGTGTTGAGCAGACGAAGGGGGGCATTTTCGAGTTCGATCCAAACTGCTCTTCTGATAGCGTCCTCTGCTTGGGATGGACAGACATACTGCTGACGCAAACCTGTAGAATGAGATAGGCATTTGAGATCATGCAGGAGTGTTCTATGGCTTACTGCGTATCTGCATTTCGGGAGCGTCGTCTAACTTGGACAACATGATTGTGAATGCCTCGATGGCTTCGTCGTAACGTTTTGCGCCACGCAGCGCTGTATGTGTCAACTGGTATCCAACGTGAGATGAAGGATTGAGTTTGGTGACCTATGCATTGCCGAAGTCAACATGGGCTACAAAACCATAGATGCTAGCGTACCTTTTGCGCGTCGAGAACTGCTTCCTTCCATAGCATTTTCTCTAACTTTGCCTTACTGCGATTTGCAAAGACAATATCGGATGCAGAATCCAGGGCGATTGCCGCTGAGTACAGGTCGATAGCCCTGTCATACTCGCTTGTAGCGAGGGCAAGATCTCCGTTGGCAATACAGAGCACGCTGCATTCTTCCTTGAAAGCTGGATGAAATACAGGTGAGGATTGTAGCCTGCATTACATTACGAACTCCAGACTTGCCATTGGACCAGTCGAGGTAGTCGATCATGGTGTTTTCGTCACTCGAATCCATCATGGACCAGTATAATTTCACCGCATCTTGAAATTTACCAGCCTTCAGGAGTGCATCACACCGTTTCTGGTGTGTAGTCAGCCACAAACATTTCAGATCCCAGCCGAAGAGCTGGACAAGATACTCAGTTATGAAAAGCACTGTGTACACTTAACGCACCACCACCAGGTCCTCGTATATTTCATGAATGTTGAATTTTGATGATGAATTGTTGGAGTTGACAGCGGCAATGAAATGGTCAGCGGCTTCGGCGTAACGTGCACCGTCCAAGGCTTTTTCGAGTTGAACACGCAGATATGCCTAATGTGCGAGATTGCAAAGGTTGGGATTTATGACCAAGTGTAGCTGCATGGTACTTACTTCCACAATACGACATGGGCGAGTATAGACATTCGGACAACCCGCAGCGAGTTCTTTGAGGAGCAGGCTTGCTTCGTCATGTTGACCTGCATTGAACAGTGCGATGGCCTGAAATATGGAATGAGACAGAGAGTATGCAAGGTAACTGTGACATACCTTGATCAAGAGCAGAAAATGAATGGTATCTGGATCTTGGTCCGTGTATATGGATGCAACATCAAATGCTGCCCTCGCATCCAGGATGCGGCCCTTTCCGCAGAGGGCAATACCCTTGGAGATAAAGCCTATCAACGATGGCTGAATGCTGATGGACTATGTCACCATCGAGTTAGTCTTTCATAAGAGGATCATGATTAGTGAGTATGTCTCACTGTAATTGCATCCTGAACGGCGTGGTCCCAGTCGTGTTTTCGCGCCATGACAAATGAACGATGAGCGTAGGAAGTATGGTTGTTCTCATCGGTGTTGATATCTTGTGTGAGTAGTTCCTCGGCGGTTGACAGGTCTCCATCTATGCATGCAATACGGGCTGTCATGATACCTAAGATCTGCACGAAACATGTTCAAATTGTGATATATGAGTCACGGACAGAAACGTGCCTTTGAATTGATGATGTTGGGTACTGCCCACTCTGAGATCATTTTATCGTTGCCTCCGCTGAGGATGTGCTTGCCATCCATGGAGAAAGTGACCCATTCTGGACCGAGTGAGTGCTCAAAGATGGCAACGGTTCGTCGATCTGAGACCCGCCAAAGACGAACATGACCTTCTTGTGGAGATACCGATGCGACGAGTGTGCCGGCAGGATTAATGGCCATGAGATTGATATAATTGGAGTGGCCAGTCCAAGGATCGCCAACCTGCTTCCAGGTTGCTGTATCCCATTCGCGTATGGTAGGATCGCCCCCATCGCCGCCTGTGAGAAGGCGTGTGCCATCGGCCGTCCATACGAGTGAGAAGGTGTGCGATTTGTGACCCTTGAAGGATGCAACAAGTTCCCTCGTGCCTGGATTATAAATGTCGATCCTCGATGTTGCGATAGCAAGAAATTCTCCAGATGGCGAATACCGAACACAACAAGTACCATCACCACACTTAATTGGTCTTCCTTCCAGCTCTGTCCAGGTTTTGGTGTTCCATAATTTTGTTATTCCGTACTTTGAACAAGTGGCCAGCACTGTTCCATCAGGAGAAAAATCTAGCGAGCTGATCCACCCGCCGGGGTGAGCTTCGATGGGCTGGGAGAGCAATTTTCCAGTTTTTCCGTGCCAGACCACGACCTCCCCATTCAGATCACCGCTTGCTATCAATTGCTCATCTTGTGAGACCGCCAATCTCGATACCCCCCCGCGATGCATTTCCATCTTCAATGCAACGCCGGTCTCCAAGTCCCACAGACGAACCGTCTTGTCATGTGAGCCCGTAACCAATCGTTTATCCGGGAACACTGCGGCTGCCATTATACACTGTTCATGACCGTTCAACTCTCGCAAGGGTGTAGTGGTTGGAATGGGCTTCAACATTTTACTGGAGGTTGATGGCGTTAAACGTGGTCGAGGTGAGTTTGGAGGGATCGTAGGTCCCTTGTTCTAAGCTGCAGAGTAGACGCCCGAGGCTGTTCCCACTGAAGTACCCTCTTCTTACGACATCTCAAACTTGTCATCAAATGTGTCACAAGAGGGTGCCTTACGTCCAGTGCTTTCTTGTAATCCATCTCTACTTTGAGCTTCCCTCACTACCGGTCCAACTGGTTTTAGTTCTTATTCGCCAATCCACCATCATTGGAATCCCGCACCACACAAGTACAGGTGCAACATGTTCACTAACCTCTGCGAGCTCTCACCGCAGATGCTACCGAGCCATGCATCAAAAGCACTGTTATCGTGTCTTGGAATGCTAAAAAGCATGGAACCAACAATCTCTATACCAGGTACCTGGACTGCCGAAAGACTAAGTGAGTTTCACACCAATTCTTTTATCAAAGCTTTCACCCTAATTCTCATGTACCAGGCGCCAGTGCGTGATCGATTTTTAGTGGCTCGTGATTATTCTCGGGTGCCATGTGCTGTCTCCTTTATGAATGACAATTGGTGCACACTAATGGGGACGACACGATGGATGATCTGCCTATAGAACAACGAGGCCCGCGCCTCAGTATCTTGTCGCCTGCACGCACATTCTTTCTACGGCTGTCTATCTTAGCAATATTATGATGAGCGCACTTGCCCCGAGTTCTCGAGACTAGGTCTGCGACTGATGCCATGCTAGAGAATCGCAGAACTTCTGGCTTCAAGCTCAATCGTGCGAGGTTTTCAATAAGTGCGTTGCGTGTAATTTTCTCAAACCAACTTCCACATAGCTAAACATTTGAAGAGAACGTCTTCCCCAAGGCACCAAAATATGGATTGGCCGTGTTTGTCAACGAAGGCTGTGACTCGGAGAATCACGACACGAAACATACATCCATTGTATTCGCGAAGCTTTCCTCTAGTGTTAACCTCGACACTACAAGATCTTGAACTATACATAAAATTTTTATTCTCTCCACTAACCTACAGAACGTCCCGCAATTGCCACCAAGTCTGAAAACTCTCGACCGGCCAGCAATCTCTTTCCCTTTCCCTCGACGTACTCCAGAGGCTTGCTCAACAAAATATGCAAAAAATCCGGTTGCGCACCCAGGTGGTGCTTCAGGTACGCCACAACAACAGCAGTCGCCCATACATTCTCACTGACCTGTAAATCTGCCGCCATTTCTAGGATCTCCACGCCAACAAGCGCCTCTAATGGAGGCGACGGCGTGAATGAGCCGTCGTAGCCCTGCAGCAAGATAAGAGCATACACTTCCTTAGGCACGGGTAGTGGGTGAGAGTCGGACACTACTGCACGTCGTGGCAGTCGTGCCCTCAGATGTGCGTTACGCGTTGGACTGAAGACTGGCGATGGTATGCGCTGGATTGAATGACGCAGTGGGCTGGACGATCGAGAATGGGTCCATTGAGAGTTGGTAGAAGAGCCTTCCAGTGAACTCAACGTGGAGAATGTATCCGTGCTCGAGTTATCGTGATGAAACGGACGTGCGCTCTGACTGGACAACAAGCTCGAACGTGATTGTGCGGTGGAATAATATGTGCCAGGAAGCAAGTTTTGGCGTCTCGAATATGTCGGGGCAGCATCTGGGGTGAAAAAGTCGAACACTGCGTTGACCACCCAAGACAAGTTGTCCAAAACTGTCTGCACCATAGGTGCATCCATTCCCAAAGCATAATCTTCAGGAGCGTCTCTCGTGATGCTAGGTGGGAATGCGTTATAATGCTGCCGCGGAGAGCCTTCTACTGACGCCGTCCAGTGTAGCCTGCTCCCCTCCATCTCACGCCGGGGCTCTATGGTAACAAAGGATGTGTACTGGCTCGCAAGCTGGTACTCGAGTCCTAATTGGACAATTGCCATCTTTCGAACTTCCTCATTTGTGGTAGGCGCCACAGGCCTTGGAAGTGGTATTCTACCCTCTGCCAGGTGCTTAATGAGTTCTTGTGCAGCCAAAGTATGAAGGAGTGGAGTTTTATCCTCGAACGGTTGTTTAACTACCATGACCGGTACCACGAGCTCGAGGACCCGAGCCAGACCCTCGACCTTGACACGCAACCTGACTTCAGGAGGGATCGACCTAAAGGTGGTGATTGCAAAGACATTCAAGTGCATCTCGGGGAATATCTTCATGATCCTATGTGGAACCTGCTGTATCGGAGACAGCGGCTCCGGCTGCACTACCTGACTGAGTGGAAGCGAGTGACAGTAATTCGAGGGTAAGAAGTTGATGGCTGGTGGGATGCCAGAACCGTGCCAATCAACCACGACACTCTCGATTACGCCCGTCCGACCAGCGGCCAGAAGCCTTGCACACTTCCTAATCATGTCTTCAGCTTCAGCTGCAAGCAAACATTCACCCACGCTCGAGCGAGCGAGGCGCTCGCACGCGACCGATGCGACATGTTCACCGATCCAGAGGGTGTATAGCTTCAATGGCGCGTTTGGCCTGCAGCTATCGACAGCCGCTGAGACAACCTCGAATGGATCGGAGTTTGTGGATGACTGTCTCATCATGAGTTCGAGTAGAGCCTCAGGAGACATCAGACGCACATTCGAGTCGGACGACGGCTTCAAGCGCTTGACTCTGGATAAGACTTGTGTGACCACTCTACGACTCCGCGCAAACATCCCTTCTCTCTGAAGGGGCTTCACTCCAGGATGTATGCCACCGCCAGTAAGAACGAATATGGTAGTCGGGCGATTGTGATCACGAGATGCCACCGCAAGCTGCAAGACGTGGGCAAATTTCGTTCCGCTATTGTTGGCTTGTATAGCTTGTATATTCGAGATCTGCACAATCCACTCAATGTCTAGTTGCCTTTGACGATGACAGAATATGATTACCGCGTACTGCATATTCCTGTCATTGAATGGCATACTCGTCTCCCACATACCATCAACCTCGCTGAAGATATTGAAAGTCGTATCCGAGTCTGGTAGGAGATGGAGCAGCATTGCCAACGTGCGCTTAGTCGTTTCCATCGGGGCTCCGATCATGCTCGAACTGCGATCGATAACGAATATGTATTCTTGTGGTGCAACGCGGGGCATCTCGAACTTCGGTACGAAAGAGAGCTGCATGGCAATTGTATCCGCACGTTGGGGATGGACTTCGGCGAAACACCGAGGCTCATTAAGTCCATGAGCGTGTACCGTCAGCACGAAGTCTCGGTCTAGGAATGTTGTAGATGACCACTTTGCGGTCATCCGTCGTTCAGACTTTGTTGATGCGTGTTTCCTGTATCGTAGGGGGGTAGAAATCCGGTGAGTAGGGCTACGTATGTCCTGTATCACATCACTGGTTTGGACGTCCACAGTGATATGAACACGCGTCCTTTCATTAGTTGTGGGTGCATTAAGCAAGGCTGTCGGAGTCTCGCCATATCGTTTAGCAATGGTCATTGGAAGCCGTAGACAGATATGATCTTGTCTTGCCTCATCGAAAAGATTCATCACAAACTGCTCGTTCGTCAAAAAAGTGTGTGACTAACTGAGAGCGCACTCACTGTCAATCTTGTTGTAATCTTCTGCCGGGCGGGGATCGAGCCAACTGAAAGTGTGAATACTAGATCCAGGTCGGGTCAGAATCTATCCAGGATCATTGTAATGCGCTCGCCACACATTCTGTTGATCCCGCAAACATTCCGGCATCCATCGCACCGTGAAAAGCTTCTGCGGCTTCTGACTTCTCTTCTGTGATACCGGTTATAACGCGCCCATCGGCATGTTCGAGCTCAAAGGCACAAATTGCAGCATTTGCGGGAAAAGGGAACACGTATTTTGCGCGGCTTGTAGGGCTCTCTGACTCATTCTCGAAAATTTGATGGACCATGACTTTCGCAGAGACTATGAAGTAAGAGCAGTACAAATTAGTGATGACTGTGGATCTCGCTCCAACTCACCATCGACCATCCATACTCTCACGTCGACCTCTTGAAGTGGCAGATGCAGAAGACGCTGGTCGAGGGAGCGATACACGATGCCTGCATATCTGGTCATAGTGATGAGTAGTACGGTGATGAAACAACGTGAAGATATCGCTGATCCATCCTTAAACGTTTTATACTTGTAGTTTAACGCCTACTATCACAACAGTTCCTGAGAAGTCATTTCAGATTCTGAAAGTGTGAACATGACTCGAGGTAATCGGACATGCACCGCAGTCATGTTGTGTCTCTCCGATAACTGATTACAGGTAAGGAAATTTGAGGGCTCGATGAATGATGCTTTGCATCGTGTAGTATCCGAAGCTTGGAGAATCTCGCCATGTTTGAACTTTGCCGCGACTCGAAGATATGTAGTACATCATCGACGATCTGTCGAAGTGCTTCGGAGGGTTCGAAGGAACACATAAGATGATCAGTTAGAGATGTCGATACCGAGCCTCGAAAGTCAGGTGGCATCAACGTAGCCGGTGTCGAAGTGACAAGGCCTTATTGTCTAAACATCACTTCTGTCGATATAACTGGGTCCGAGTCTACAGAAAGTATACACTCAACAGATTCATTTGAAACACCATCACGATAGCACACATACCGAGACTCCAGTGAGTGAATGCTGCACATGGTGATATGAATCCCTATCATAAATATCACGACCCTTGCACACGCAGATTTCTTGGCGATGGTGATTTTGCTTGTATGTCAAAGTAACTCGGGAGTTACGAAGGCGATTTTGTCCTCTGGCCAGTATCTCCTGTCTTAACATTGATGGATGGCTTAACATGAACTGTTTTCATTGGAACTTGAAGAGTTGTCGAGGATGCCTTGTCGCTTCTCAAAGTTGGAATGTTAGATTTTCTGGATGGTTCAGGTATAGCTGACCTATAATCAAAAACATCAACTCCGCGAAGACCAAAAAAAGAACAATATTACTTGTTATTGAGTCAGGCTTGCAGCAAGTGTGTCAGGGATTTGACAGAGATGACTCAAATGTGCCGCAGAGAGCTCCTGAAAGGGTCGGACTGTTTTCGGATGTCTTCAAAACTAAGTTGTCACGGTGGTGGTGGGGCCTTGTACTACCGTGGTACTACTTCAAGTAAGTAGGCTACGGAACCGATAAGTTGATTAATTAATCTTCGGGTTGATTGAGACTAGTACTGATGTGGCCGCGTTTACATAAAAGTTACTAGCGCAGCGCAGCCTTCCGATGCCACGATCTCCGTTGTTGTCGAGTTCATGCCTCTCTTTGGCTTCTTCAAAAATTCCCAGTCAACCCCCACTACCAGGGCTACTTATACCCGCTCTCCATGTCCTACACACCAGACGAGTCCTCCGCTCAGCTCTATGCCGAGAAAACGTGGCTGGCTGGTAGCATCATGACCGGCGTCGGCTATGGCGTCGTCCTTGCTCTTTTCTGGCTCTGTCTGCAGTTATTATGGCGCCGTACGCGAGTGAAGGACGCAGATTACGCTAGAAATTGCTTTTTTCTCGTCTATGTCTGCGTCATGTTTACTCTAGGATCACTTTTCATGGGCTCCAATTCCCAATTCACCCAGCTCGCCTTCATAAACGATCGAAATTTTCCAGGTGGTCCCAGTGCATGGGAGGTTGAGATGTTTTCCATCAATGTGGATGAGATATCCAATGTCTCTTTTGTCCTGGCAGATTGGTGTGCTACAGCGCTCATGGTGAGTTTCAGTCGAGACAGTCATATCATCTTCATTTCTCATAATGTAGGTCTGGCGCTGCGTGATTATATATCGTGATTGTGGAAGTTGTCCGTGGCCAATTATTATGATGCTAGGGACCATGTTCCTCGGATCTGTCGGTAAATAATCTACATTGGTATGCATTCATATGTACTTACCTTGGCATTCTTCTCCCCAGTGTTCGGCATTCTCTTTCTCTACCAGATCTCATCCCCGTTATCATCACCATACTCTGCTGCTGGCGCGAATGTGAATTTTACCCTTCCATACTTTTTCTTTGAACTTGCCACCAATATCACCGTCACCATCCTCATCGTACTCCGCCTATACCTATATCGTGTCCACAACAAGCAAGCATTATTAGGTCCTGGACACGTAGCGGAACACACTAGTGTCGAGTCAGTGATCGTCGAGAGCGCTGCAATTTACTCCACGTTCTCCTTACTGTTCTTGATCCCATTCGCGACGAAAAGTCCAGTTGCGAACGTGTTCATGCAAGTACTTGGAGAGGCACAAGTCAGTACCATCGTGTTAATTCAAGCTTTTGCACTGACTCTCTATAGCTCATTGCCCCCTTGCTGATCATATTCCGTGAAGCCCAGGGGAACGGCTGGATTAGCTCCACGGTATCTTCAACATCTTCCAGTAAAACCGCTGTCCAATCACCACAATACTCCGGCATCGAATTCACATCTCAGCATATGCATAACGAAGGGCTCAAATCTACCGACTATAGAGACGTCTCCATGACTGCAGGGGAAGATTCTAATATTGACAATGATGATAACGTTGTAGAAGTTCCGAGGACGGAGGAGGATCACATCTAGCTTGCCGCAGGGACCCTGACCATGTATTTCACTTATCACGTTATGTATCTGTGTCGCATCAAACCAAACAGCTCAAATATAGCGACAGTAGAAAGGAAACCGATTGGAGTCTCTAGATTTTGACCTCAAGGATTGTAGTATGTGTTCACACTGAGATCTGGTCATTGTACTCGAAGTTCGTCATTGAACTTTGAAGTACTGAAGGATTACAGAATCATACTTCTGTACAGGTTACTGCCGATGAGATCTCTGATCGGCGCTCATGTGATTCCGTTCCCACTCTCGATCATCCCTTTTGCCTTCATCATTGATCTCCGTCTCTCTGCATTCTGTACATAACACGTGGACTTGGCAAATGCAGAGAGACGAAGGAAGAAGAGTTGCGTACAAGCCTTCGTTTTCGAGTACAGTTGCATCTCTGATGCGCATGTAAATCATGGGGGGAGAGAACACAAAACCAGCAACGAGTAGACACCACGGGGAGAGGAAGATGCTCTTGCAGCTATAAGGTCGGAGTTAAGGTGGAGCTTTCGAACCTAATCAATCGTATCCATCTGTCACGCACCAGCAGGGATGGAGTGATCATCAGAGCTTCGAAACCAAACAAAGAAAAGGACGGAGGCGCACAAAATCCTACATTGAATACCTACCTTATTACTCATGGCACCGATGAGCCAGCGACTCACTGTCTGCCCCATTACATTTAGAAGGCCATAGAACATCATGTGTCAGATGTATGCTGGAAACTGTGGGTCGTAAATATCCGTCGTCTGGGAGTCTGCCGTCACTGATGAACGTTGAGCGCGCGGGTGTAAGTCCTGCATACAAAATCGCCAAGAATCGTGGGAAGGCCTATATATACATGCCAGGGAAGTCTGATAGGAATTGGCCCAGATGTGCACTGCGGCGTCAAATGTCATGACCAGGAGGACTCGGATGTCCCCAAAATTGAGCTTGATGTGCCGATTGAAAATTTGGATTGATTGGCGAACCGCGCAGCTGGGTCACTAGAAGTTGTCTCCGACAATAGTTACGAGCACAGGCAATCCGCAACACTGATGCATCTGATGAAGGGCTGGATGATTGCCGAATGAAACTGAAAAATTTGATGTCAACCGAGTTGGAGCAGTTGTGACATGCGCCCGGTGACCGGTCCGATGCCGTGACAACGTGACCTCACTTCTGCCGCCAGCCCCTGAGGCCTGATGACTAAGCAACAGTTGCTTTGCAAATTTAGGTCGTGGCAGTTTGTCCAGACTCCATGCTGCCGCAGCATCTGAGACTGGCTAATGGAGTTTCTCAAGATCGATGACCTCTCCACCACTGGTCGTGCAGCCTCGATAAGCCGCGACGCCGTGCCAAGGGGGCTGCCAAGGCCATCGTCTTTTCCGAATCCAGGGTCGCAAAGAAGCTGGCCTGCTCCAATCATGCACCTCTGATAGGTACATCGATACCCTCCTCCTTTTCAGGGCCAAGTACCTCATTTGAATCACGGGTGACCGACTAGATGGTCATGCGAAAAATGGCCCGCATCTCAACGTTATGGATGAGGTCATGGGCCATGGTTCGCTGGACCTTAGCCAGCCATCTGTGCCGGTGATGACAAGACCACGGTCTACATCGCAACGACTCGAGATGGGCTAGGTGCAGCGAAACTGAGCTCAAAGCGCCGTGTGAGTAAACCGTGTTTTTATGATGGTTTTAATAGTATCGTGGGGAGCAAGCGACTGCTTGTTGAGCGATGCAAATCCGGACAGGTGAGTCATCGCACTTGGGAGTATGACACGAAGTGCTGCGACGGAGTGCTGGAAGCAAATCAGCGTCGGTGTCCACAAATACTTCCCCGTGGGGACTCATCACACCGGCATCCAGCTAAACTTGATTGATTGTCGGCCGTTTCAGTGTGATGATGTAGTAAGCATAGCATGGATCTCACCCCGAATCCTCCTTGATGCTAATCCAATTGAAGTGAAGACGCAGTCCAAATCTTGTCAGACCATACAACAGATCAAGGAAATCGACTTACCTCTGGAAAAATCTGCCACGTCGAGGTATATCACTTGGTACCCCGGTCCATGGTGTTTACAGTATGAGAGCAGTGACTTTTCCTATCTTGCCAGCTTAACCTCCAATTTTCGGCTCACGAGCTCCTTGGGCTTATATTACGCTTCACACTGAGCGATCAATTTGACACCACACTCCACGTCTACTGCAATGGGCTTTCGCTTAGCACGTGTTTACCGGCGGCAAGTGCTTTCAAGATAATGGATGAGTGGTTTGGAGGATGATGAAAATGGGTGAAATGTCAGGCCTCAGGCTTGGCGAGGAGTGCGTCAGAGATTTAAAGATGTACTTCCGACAAAGTAGACATCAGGGGTAGTATTGAGGAGGACTGTTGCTTGGGCAGCGAGTTCACGAGCGCCTTTCCCTGATCGCGAGTAAACCACTTTAAGCTTTGGCACGAGAGGGCCAAGTGTTCAACGCAGTGCAGGAAAGGTGTCCTGTTGAAATACCATTAGAAGGTGAAATTTGAATGTGCAGACTTCGGAGCATGATGGGTAAGTCAAACAGTTGGTAATCTTGCATGCCTAGCGAAGATACCTGCGCCAAGGATACCCGCGCCAAGGATCGCAGTTCCACTTGACATGAGTATTACTAGAACAAGCTTATGTAGATAACACTCGATTGGTGGATGGACCCGATGGTTCGAGCATATGGTCCTCCTGTTATTTATTCCTATCACTTTCACTATCATGGATAAGCACGATGTACATGGTCATATGATTGGCATAAAATCTGGTTCACATGTTGCATCTCCCAAAATACACTCGCGTCTTCACTCAAAATATGATAAGTACGTATGTACCGTGCGTTTCACGCGATTTTAGACAATAGACAAATGAGGAAAATCAGTCCTTCTATACTTATGCAACCTCGTCCATTGAATGCGGCTTGTGCGTCCAGCTTTCCATGGTGTATTTCGTCTGTCGCAACTTCGAAAGGTTCAAAGCCGAACAGTCGGTGGACGGATTCCAACGTCTGCAGGTAGACAGCCTGATTTTCAATTTGACTTTGTGTGAATGGCCACGAATACATATAATATCTCCAAAGCGTTCATGATATTTCGATCTCGCTCTCGATCATCCCTTTCGCCTTCATACTATCTACCCCCTGATCTCTCTGCATTCTACACATGGCACAGATTAGTAAGGCAGACAGACACATAGAGGAAGAAGAGTCACGTACAAGCCTTCGTCTTCGAGCACAGTTGTATCTCTGATACGCAGGTAAATCATCGGGAAACAGAACACAAGACCAGCGACAACTAGGCACCACGTAGAGAGGAAGATGTTCATGTAGCTGTAAGACCAGGGTTAACTTTCGAACCTGGTCAATCGGTTAAGTGACTAAGACTTACGGAACCCCAATTGCATCCATCCGCCACACAACAGCAGCTCCGGCGCTCTGAATGGAGTGGTCTGTAAAACAAATACAGTTGAGACTCACACCAGGTGAAATAAGAGACAAGGCGTACAAAACCCAGAGTAGATAGCCAGTTTGTTCGTATCATTGCTCATGGCACCGATGAGCCAGAAGCTCGTCGTCTGCCACATTGCGTCCAGCAATCCATAGAATATCATGAGCCAGACATGCGCTGGGTATCTTGGGTCGTAAATATCCATCTTCTGCGAGTCCGGGGGAACGGAAGCCCGAGTGTACGTCCTGAATATAGATCATGAAGAATTAGCGGGAGGGTCTATCTATGCTGGAGAATGCGAACCGTTGGTAATAATAAGCCCAGATGTGTACTGCAAATGTCATCGCCAGTAGGATACCCCACCCAGTGAACGCGCGCACACGTCTCCGGAACCTCTTGGAGTCTAGGATGACACCGATCATTCCACTGCCAATAATCTGCGAGAACCAGTACATGAAGTTATTGAGAGACCTTGCGCGGATGTTAAACAGTGCTGAGTTGTAATCGTTGAATTCTGCCTAGAGGGTAAGGTACTTCAAATAGTGGGAATTAAGAACCACGCACGCCACGTGTAAAAGTAATTACTCGCAAAAAACATCGGGAAGAGCAGGAGGATCATGGGGTCTGTGATGATTGCGACCCATAGACCATAAAATTCGGACTTCCAGGACGGATGGCGAGGCATCGCGACCTTCGTACCGTCCGTGCGAATCATCTTGTCGGGATCGGCCATCAGAAGAGGGATTGTCACCCCAAGTATTGTGAGAACCAGGATCCCGACCTGTGCAGTAATCATGATTAGTGACAGTGCCAATGGAGCGTTTGGGAAGACCAACATATGTTCCATTGCTGACTTGGTGGCAGACGAATTGAATTAAGAGGAAACCATGACGAGGGAGCAGACTTACCGCTATTGGTCTGAAGTCGCAATTGTAAGCTGGTGTCAATGATGCACCACAGTACATACCGTTGAGTGGATATTTTGACCGAAGGACACGGCAGCGCCTACGACTGCTCCCATGTTGAAAATGGCCCAGAATATACTGATAAAGATGCCCTTCTGCGCTTCAGTACAGTAGCTTAACATCATTGAGCCTTGAGCGGTCCACAGGAACGCAGCAGTGACACCGAGAAGGGCACCCGAGGTAACAACAAACCAGCCAGCGTCGGGGTGAATGTTCATTGCGCTGGGTTAGGCATGAGGATGTAGACCGGCAGGAAAAGAAAAAGAACTTGCAGATAAGAACCGACATAGAGCGCATACCCCAATGTTCCAAAGAGCAGGGTGCGCTTAGCGCCGATCTTGTTATTGACGGTTCTTTCAAATTTTAGGTTCAATTAATCATCAGATGATCATGGGGATGGAATATTTTTACCCGGAGAAGAACGCGAAAAACGCATATGTCGCGTATACCGCACAAGTTGAATTTGCAGAAGTCGTTGGGTTGAATTGGCCGCCTCCGCCAAGTCCAGTGAGGGCGTTAAACATCCCAGGGCATAAGAAGCAGACAAAAGCAACCATGACAATTTGCGTTATGGGGTGATAGTAAACACCACGCAAGCCCTTTGGTCGTTCATACACGGAGATAGAATCATTATGAGGGTTGTCTGAGCCGCCACCTTTCTCGTCAACGGAGCTGGACATAATACTAAGATGAGGGAATGCTCTAAGGTGAAGAGATAACGTGTAGACGGATTCCTACTTATATACTGTCTGGCAGACGGTGTATTGGATGTATTCGTGAGAAGGCGGGTTTCGAGCCGCGGAATAGCAAATTCTCACCTGCTTTGCTCTATCATGTTCCAATCTATTTAATAATAGGTCAGTCAAGGTCGCGCCGCGAAATGATGTGAGTGAGCCCAGATAATGATAAGGGGCCAGGTTGCATACGATAAAAGATTCAGAGATTGAGCATAAAGCTTTGACGGTGTGCCTGTTGAGCAGATAAGCTAACTTACTTTGGGACCGTCGGTGCATTTAGCATGCTGGTTTGTCTGCAACAACAAGTACGGACAACGGTAACAGGTGAAATACGTTCTTGAATCTCTAATAAACACATACGTGTGACTTGCAAATTATGATTAGTGCAGATGAATGTTGAAATGTTGAAGCTTGATGTCAGCGACGCAAGTACACCGGGTGGAGGCAGAAAGACCAACCGAAGACTTGTTGGACTTGTGCGTGACATAAAGTCTAAGTGACCGTGACACCATCACAGAAAAATATGAATCTGACGGTTTCACTGAACGAGTGTACGGTATCGAGCTCACCATCAACCATGGCGTCATTACCATCCGCAGTGCCCTCGCACCCAGTCGTATTCACGACTCAAACACCCTATACACTCCCCTCCCAAAAATTCATGATCCCCTTGGACTGGAAACGCTACCAGCTCTCCCAACTCATCAACAAAGCACTTGACCTCCCCAAGCCTATTCCATTTGACTTCCTTGTCCATGGCGAGATTCTCAGAACGTCCCTTTTAGAATGGCGCACAGAAAAGGGTGTTGGAGAGGTGAGCCAAGTGATCAAGTCATTTGAGAGAGAGCCTAACGTTTATGACAGGAAGATACGTTAGAGATCGAGTATTTTGAGAGTGTGATGCCTCCTCAGCGGATGTCCGAGCTTCCACACGAAGATTGGGTATCTTCAGTGTCATGTCGAATACCTCAGTATGTTGAGCCCGTACATCACTTCGTGATCCATCCGCTAAACCTTAAATTATCACCACAGACACTTCGCCACAGCATCCTATGACGGTCACCTACGTCTCTTCGACTATTCGCAAAATCTGGTTCTTGATGCTTCTGTGCACCAATCACCCATCACTTCCGTCTGTATAGTACCATCCCCGCCATCAGACACCGAGTCTCGCATTCTAGCGAGTTCGTCGCATGACCTCACTGCGTGTCTTACGCGCATATATCTGGACTCAGAGACTCCTACTGCATCCACTGTCGCTTCTCTACATCTTCACACCAGCCCACTATCCTCCATATCTACTGATGCATCTGGTTCACACATCCTCACCTCTTCGTGGGATGGCCTCATCGGTGTCTGGGATACTTCAATACCCGATGACCACCAAGTCAATTTGGAACGCGGTGATGATAGAAAAAAGCGGCGTAAGACTGTACCCGCAAACATAAAACGGAAAGCACCGATAGCAGTACTAAAATCGCACACTGCACGCGTGTCAAAAGCAATTTTTGCTGCAGGTGAGCCTGCGAAAGGTAAGGCCTATAGCTGTGGTTTTGACTCGACGGTGCGAACCTGGGATGTCGAAAGTGGTGTATGTATGAATACCATTGTAAGTCTTATCCCCCATTATCGAAACTCAAACTGAACATATTTTATTAGAACGTGCCTGAGCGTCCAATGCTCGACCTCACTGAAACCCCCGATGGAACGTTCTCCTCGCTGCATCCACGGACCGCACTGTGTCTATCTTCGACCTCCGTGTTTCGTCCCTCTCATCCTCCACGGGCGTTATGATGCACCCCGCGACTCCATCCTGCATTGCCACATCTGAAAGTGGGAAAAATCAGGTTGTCACTGGCAGTTATGATGGCGTTGCGCGGTTATGGGACCTGCGGAGCACGAAAGGCGCTGTGACCAGTTTCAGGGTATGGGATGGGATGAAGGTGCTTGCGGTGGATTGGGTTGGGGATGTGGTGGGCATTGGAGGCGAGGGCGGGATGGAGGTATGGAGAATAGCCGGGGGATCCTAGGTTGTTAAAAAAATTCAATCGCCTGGAGTTGGAACGAGTCGCCTTGACTTTAGCGCATTGAAGTCAGATATCTGCCAAAGTTTGGCAAGATGCGAAATTCATGAGGTTTGCACGTACCTACTATGAGTAGTACTGTTGTGTCGTTCACCCTAGGCTGTGAACTACATGAAAGGCTCCAAGTAGACCTGGTGTTTGATGTGTTTGAATGCTAAAGCGTTAATGAATGGCGAATTATTATACAGTAGTTTTCGAGTGTATTAAGGAATTGAATATTGAACTTCGACAAAACGGCGATGCAGCGCAACCGCGTGCGCGTGCATTTCTGACTACTTAATGCCTTTTCTATCGAGAGTTTTCGTCGAATGGCGCAAATGTAGTTTTGTTTGAGATCCAGGCGATAAGGAGGTACTCCAGGATCGCAAGGGTCTGCTGGCGGCAGGAAAAGGAGTTTTAGTGGAACACGCATGTCCTTTAGGATAATAACAGTGAGCTCGCATGTTCCGTTGCGGGACAGCAACGTATTGTGAGATATCCATATCAAATCTATCTTTCTGCTTGGCCAAAAAGGTACTGTGCAAAACTTACCTGCTATGACGATCGTTAGAAAGGCGCGAGAGCCATCGGGAAGGGGCAATAGCATTGAAAACGGCCGCCGTCGACATTGTAGAATGCGCGTACATGAGTGGGATCGAGCCATAGAGAGAAGTCGGTGAGTTTGAGAGGTAAGAGAGGTATTTAAAGACATCTACGTTGTAGAGACGGAAGGGGTCCGTGTATTCTTGGGAGGAAGAGGTTTGTGTCGTGTTGGGGGGATTCCATGCTGCGGGGTTGACTTGAAAAACGGATCGTCCTTGTATCCACATAGTTAAAATCCTCGGTTCTGAAAATACTCCATGTGCAGTAAGCCGTGCCTGTTCAATATGACCCATTCTATGCCGCCCCGGTAAAGCGTGATTTTGACAGAGTTGAAGTCGACGATGAGCTTCATATCCGTCTTCGGTCCATGAACAGCCTTAACTTTCCCTGTCAATCATCCAGGGAACATCACTCAACAAAGGTTCTCCGTCCACTGAGCAACTTCGCTATACTGTTTCCTCAGTCCGTCCTCTTCATCTATTCGAACGTGCACAATGAAATCCTCGTATATGATAACATCAAACGCGAATTTGACGTTGGGATAGATGGACGAGTGAACGCTTATAGTGATGAACCCTGGTTGATGAGGGCTAGGTTCTGGGGTTTGGATTGAGTATGAGGAGTTCCATGACGATGAACATTTCTGATATCATGCTGCGAGGGCACATCCTCTGCGATAGAAACCGAACTGGGAGCATGTTTGGAATTCTGATTGTTTGAAGGCGAGGGCTGTTGGGAGAGAAGGAATAGGAGGATAGTCCCTGAGACCACGATGATGAGTATCCCTGGGACCAAAATTACCGCACACTGATCGGGCCTTATATAACGTTGTAAGGCGTTGATTGGTCCGATTGATCGAGTGCGCAGGTGCTTGAAGCAGACAAACATTAAGTCAACGGTGCTGCAGTGCGTATGGCAGACATAGGGAGAAGCTATCTGCAAGGTTCAGGGTGAGTGGGTTTTCCGGGCTCCACAGTGTACGTCCGCTGGTGAGTGTAGATGCAATGCTTCAGTTGTGCCAGGCAGTACAGGAGCTTCTATTATATTGAAATATTGGTAGCAGTTGGTGTCCAAAGCACCATAAGTCTGTGGCATACGTCAGCTCATTACATAATATCATTAATGTCGGCGTTATGTAATCATATGGGTTGTCACACCTTGAAAGCTTTCATATCTCTTCTGACGCGTAGCTGACAAGCTCTGACGACTTGAAGGTGTTCCTTGACCACCATCCCTACGCTCCGCTCAGAAATGATTACCCTGAGGCTAAGAATGCTCAGCAGTGACCAATACCTGATCTTATGCAAATACCAATTTGTTCATCATCCTTCCTGCTGAATCACTACAACCCGCTATTTCCGTTGGATTTGATTGTCACGCGCCACACCGGGCCTGCGCAGTGCAGATTTCCAAGGAGATGTATTTCATTAACAGAGCCACATGTCTCGCGGTATAAAACTTTCTCCGAGTGTAGTTTCTCCGCTAATGAGAACAAGTATAAAATCAACGCGGTCGAGTTGAAAAGGCCCCAGAGACGAACGTCTACTGTTACGGTAAGTAACCCTTTTACGCCACACTCTGCGCATTTCATCGAAGCGTCATATAATAACTCTAAGACTTTTTCATAGCAACTTCGCGCACATTTGCACGATCAGACTTTTGTCGGTACGTGGCTTTCTCACACGTTCACATCATAGTCTGAAGCATAGTTATACCAGATATCATGAAGTTCGTTCAAATCGTTTACCTCACCATCCTTGCTACTTCCGCCGCCGCTTCCACTCCCACGAGGGCGAGGGCACCAGCGCCTCCTCATGTAACCATAGTGTGCCCAGGCCCATCCCAGTGCAGCCCTCGACCAATAATGCCAGACTGCCCAACAGATTCATGGCCTTTCGATTGGGGCGATCAGTGTTGGGTGTGTTGTAGCTGGGCCTGAAGCAGTCAATTGAACCTCTCAGTCGTTTTCCAAAAGACCGAGCACTTAGCACAAGCAAGATTTCTCAGTGAAGCATAAATAGAGATGCACCATTGACCTCTTCTGAACCGCGTCCGTGACAAGCTCTAACAACTTGAAGGCATTACTTGACCACTATCCCTGCGCACCACTCAGAGATGGCCAACGGCCATGCATTGTTTCGAAGCCATTGGTGTCACAGTGTCCGAAGATTATTCAACTGAGGCAAGGTGCCAACCTAGGGAGTGAAGGTGATGCTTTCAAGACCGTATGTGTACTTTCAAGGGAATCAAGTTGTTTTGTTCTTGAGGTTGGGTGTAAGTGCAATTCCTGCTATATAGTGTATCCTGTACCACCGATACCGTCGTCCCAGCATCTTTATGGTGCGGTTGTGGTCTATTTTTTTTTCTTGTTTGTTTCCTGATGCCGTAGTTGCACTAACAGCATTGTGGGTGAGTGTAAAAATTATCACAACCTTTGGCGGCTGAGACTCATGCTTTCACTCGAACATTTAGTTATGTGCATGCCCGACGCGGCAAGTATAAACTACCTTGAGCATCTCAGGGTGTGCTGATCTGTAGTCGGTGCAGGTCGAGTGTATCGTCAGGTCTTGATGGGGACTAACCATGTTTTTCTATCTAGCTTGCAGTCACTTGCCCTTTGCCTTCGTGTCATTGAATGTACTCGGTGAGTGTCCAGCATACATCCCTATTGTTCCTCCCTCATGATGCGACTTTCAGCGCTTTCTGCATGATGCCCCATATCCTGTATGTGCAAACTGGAGCGTTTCAGATTTTTGAAATCAACTCATTCTAATCGAAGCTTTGCTGCTCTTATAAAATTGCCGCCGTCTGTGGGCCCGGTGAATTTTTTCGCAGACACGTACTGACTCTGCTCCATAATCCATGAGATGTAGCAGCATTATCGACGTTCTTCGCTGGGTGCACTGGTTTAGGTATTTTCATACTCAGAGCATTGGCAGGATGGGAACGGGTGAGGTGGCATGCCATATTTGCAATTGTCAGTTTCGTTGTCAATCCAATATATGGAGGCTACGTACGACTGACTCCAGATAGCAATTTCTAAATCAGGCCCATGCAGTACCTATTTTGGTCTACCTTGAGAAATTATGGACGGTCTCAAGACTCAGGTGTGTATAACTTTAAGCTGGACTCTATCTCTACTTAGTTCCTGAAGGCCTGACCCCTGAAATACAGGGAAATACTAGATTCCTGGCGCTTTCTGCTGGGTTACGACAACCCACTGGCTTGGTTTAACTACTATCACCAACTTGACACGCCTCAAGCCTGCACGCGGATTGCCAAGGAGATATATTTCATCAACAGAGCTGCGTGTCTTCTCGGTATAAAACTCTGAGTATAGTTCCACAACAAGTGGAAAATCAGCGTGGTCCAGTTAAAAAGGTCTCAGAGACGAACGTCTGTTACGGTAAGTAACTCTTCTACGCCACACTATGCGCATTTCATTGAAGCGTCATACAACAGCTCTTTTAAGACTTTTCATAGCAACTTCGCGCACATTTGCACAATCAGACTTGTCGGTACGTGGTTTTTTCACACGTTCACATCATAGTCTGAAGCATAGTCATACCAGATATCATGAAGTTCGTTCAAATCGTTTACCTCACCATCCTTGCTACTTCCGCCGCCGCTTCCAGTCCCAGTAGGGTGAGGTCAGCAGTACCTCCTTCTGAAAGCGCGGAGTGCCCAGGCCCGGCGTTTTGCATCCCGGGATCACCTCCGAAATGCCTGGAAGGGTGCTGGCCTTTCGATTGTGGCAATGAGTGCTGGGTGTGTTGTTGTGATATCTGAGGCAGTTAGTGGAACCTCTCGGTCATGTTTGCTCTCAATGCAAGTAAACTGTGTGTCATATCGTTTTACAAAAGATCGGGTGTTTAGCACTGCAGACAAGATCACTATGTGAACGTGGATCTGTAACGGACTGATGGACATTTGTCCGCTATGGCAGTAATGTTGTCTTTCTCCTGCGCTGAGAGGAGTGAAATGGATGGCGGGACTGTTCAGGATACGTGGTCAGCACGCATATTGTATTATTCAAGCTAGACAATCCGAACCTAGAGAGTGCTAGTGAAGATCAACTTTGCGGTATACTCGAACTGCAACGCTACCACCTGCGAAGATCTCTTGGACTCTGAACAAGCCTCTGTAGGTGATGACGCTGCGACTCCGGTCAGATTGGGGGGCATCACGGGGAGAGTGAAGGTTTGGTAAGTGTGTAAGGGAATGACGCTACCTGTGAGGATCTCTAGAATGCACCTCGCAGGTGATCACGCTGCGACCTGATGAACACCCGATATCGAGTCTGCCCAAAGATCAATTTGCGCAGGCTGGATATCGGGAGTACTTCGTGGGCCTGCAACGAGTCGAATTCCAGATGGTCTGACAATCTCAGCGAACCTTGAATAAAATAAATCTCCTGTGCTGGGAAGGGTGAAATGGTTCAGTGTTATATCGTATCGTAAAACCAAGACGCAAACCTAGAGAACTAGTGAAGGAGAAATACTACGATCTACTCAAAATGCGGTGTCGCCACCTGGGAAGATCTCTTGGACGGCTTCCAGCTGCTGTTCACAGGTGATGACAATGCAACTCCGATCAACGCCCGATATTAGGTGCTGCTGAAATGAGCTCTGTCATTGGTGACACCAATTGGGGGTACCGCGTGGATCGGTGACGAGTACAAGTGGACAGATGATGCTTGTTTGGCTGTGGTGGGTGCTGGTGAGGAAGTAAAGGACTGTCAAAAATACGTGGTCATTACCTGTATTGCCATCTAACCAAGGTAAGGCACGAACCTAGATCCTAGAGAGTGCTAGTGAACGCGTCCAGCTCTTGTTCGAAACACAACGCCGTCACCTGATTGAGTCCTCGGAAGACATAGAGCCGTACAAATCTGGCAGTAATGCTACAATTCCGATTTCAGGTATTGTTGAAGGGAAATGAATAGGAATATCTGATGCTTCTGCGAGAATGTCAATAACGAGCATCCAACCAATCAAATATACAAACCCAATGTGAAATTTTGAAAAACGACCCTGCGAAACGTAGCGTCACCACCTGCTGTTTTTCCTGTCATTTGCGAAGCAAAAATGACATCAGGTGATGGTACTGCGAAGGAAAATAATATCAATTTCCCTGGGAGAAAATTGAAATCAACGACGAGCATCGAATGAAAGCAGGATGCGAACCTGCAGAGAGAAGTTTTGAAGAGTGAACCTCGAAGGGCAGCGATGCCGACTGCATGGATGATATCAAATGATGACACTGCCATCAGTAAACCGATGAGTCCTTGATATTGTACCCGTGCGAATTGTAGAGGGGTAGAACTCTGCCGCTGCTAAATATTTTCATGTATACCATAAGAAATCTGATTTGCCGCTATATAGCCCGGAGATCTAGAGTAAGATGAGCAGTGCACAACAAGGTTATGATGTTCCTCCATTGCAGCTGACCAGGGTGATAAGCCTACTTACGCCAAATATTTTGGCCATTGTCATTTTGCCTTACTTCCGCTTTACACTACAACTTCATCCACGACATTCTCGTGGGAAGTACCTTTGGCACTTGTCAACTAATCTAGAATAGCACTAGATTTTGTAACAATGTCCTGACTTGTGGCCGTGAAGATTAACAAGGGATGACAGCGCACACCTCTCAACCTGTTTCGTGACTCTCCTTTTCCGCCGTCTATACATTGGATCAAACTACTATTTAACATCTTCCCATAGGAAGAGCCTTTTGCGTTTGTCAACTCATCTAGAATAGCACTACAATTCCTAACAAAATTGCGACCTGTCACCATCGCAGTATGTATTGTACTCCCGGCAGTGTTGATTGTTATTTTCCTCCATTATCAAGTGTTGATCTCGCGAGTCAGCGGCATCATGATGCACTTGAGACAATATGATGATTGGTTAGTTACACTCAGGCCACGATATACATTCGACTCGAAGTTGTGACTCGATATGGGCAATATCGGTCAATAGACTTAGACATTCAAGTACTGCTAGTAAGGCTGAGCTACAGGCTGAATGAGTCAGAAAGATAGGCTGTCACGGTCTTCCTCATACTCATACTCATACTCATTCCCGTTCTCGTTCTCGTCTTCACCGTCTTCCATCTCTCCGTCATTCTCCTGTGCGTCCATGTCTTCGTCTTCTTCTTCGCTGTCATAACCTTCTTCCTCCCCTCCATCATCGCCCTCGGGTTGAATTTCACTCTCCAAGTCGTCATCGTCATTATCCTCCTCTGATTCCGGGGTATCCGCGAGCTCCACTTTGGCACAGTCTCTTGTGATCTCCCGTAGGACAGTAGGATGTCCAATTCCATAGTGCGTGTATCGCACGAACATGTCTCGGTCGACGAATCTGAGTGATCATCAACAGTTGAGTAAGGACAACGAGATGAATTATTACACTTACATGCCAACATAGTATCCCTCCCAGTCATCCAATTCACCAAATTGACGTCCGAAGGACTTTCCATAGCAAAGGGATGTAGTTCCGCGATTAGAAGAAAAAGCTGGAATCAAATGGGCACTTCGGATGACTTGACCGGGGTCGAGAAACCCAAATGCGTCGCGGTCAGACTCTTCGACGAAAGCGATCTTCGGAAGTCGAGCACAGCTCATCCCTGACGGGTGGTTGGTCAATGGCGCCAACCATCTGACATAAAGAAGCTCAATTTGACGCCTTTTGATCGGACCTTCGCTATTGAGCCACACATCCATGTGGTAGATGCCCAGAACGTGGGCATACCAGTATGGATGTCGGGGCCTTGTTTCCCCAGATAAAACCATAACATTGGGGTGTGTCCGAATATTGACGGTATCATACTCTCGCCGAATATCATAAGTCGTGTAATGAACCTATCAATTAAAGTATTACAATGCTAGCAAAACTTGAGATCTGTGTGACATACCTGCATCGTTTGGACGGAGTATAGCCTATTGTCTGAGATGATAACTGAATTATGTTCATCGTCGGAGAAGGTATGGTCACAATAGGTGACGTCTAAGTTTCGAAGTCGGTACAGTACGTGGTCTTTGAGTTCTGGTATGAACACCTGTATAATATCGTGAGTTAGGAGAACGGTGAGGAAAGTAACACATACTGCTACAGCTGGATCATTGTCATGATCTCGAAGAAAATGAAATATATCTATGGGATTGTTGCGGCTTAGCATCGGTATATAGTGATGATCCTTCATGTTGATCCCTGCAGGCAAGTTGACTGGTTGCTGTTCCAAAGCACATGGACTACGTTCTGCTTCTGCCACTCGCCGAAGGATTCGTCGACGGCGCTCGTGCTTAGCGAGTTCAGCCGGGGTATCTAATTTATTGGTCAAGGGATAGAATGCTTTCAGTGCTCGATGCGCTAACTCTCCCTGGACAGACATCAAAATGAGATGGGACGTTGTGTCAGACTCGGAGATGCACATACAATTTGCGATGTAAAGGAGTCGATCGTTCCAAAGAGCCGGATCGATCGCAGATAATCCCCCATGGCGTGAAATTTGTAAGTGTTCAAATTAAATTTTTTGACCTTTCTGCCGCCACTTCCAGCACCCGCGTTGTCAGAACTTGAGCCTTCGCATGCAGCCCTTTCTTTCGGTAGCTCCACGGTAGAGAAAGCAGCACATGTGAAATCCCGGAACTTACGCAACTGACGGGACAGCCTCTGGAATGTCCTCTCGAGTACTGACAGAGTCGCGTCAGAATGCATCCTTAGTTTGGCGAGAGCGTGCCATTGAGCAAATCTGTATAAAAGTAATTGTACAATAGCATCATGCTCTGCTGGAAAAAGCCCCTCGAAGACTGGCATCGCACACTGAGATAGAATGTCACTAACACACAACATCGACTGAGCCACCAATACGTACCTGCAGAATGTCCTCAAAGTCCCGTGCTGCGAGGCGTTTCATTTCCGAGGTGTTATCCGAAAATTTCCTGATGACACCGTTACCATACGATGGGATGTGGCGAAATCTGTGTTGAAGGCGATTATTTTCAATTCAGTAAAGAGAATAGTGTGACAAACCTATAGTCAAGACTTGCAACTAGGCGATCACCGCCGGGGAGCGCGTAAAGTAGACGGATGAGGTGCGTAAACAGCACCTTCCATGTACCTAACTCGCATTCATGCATAAAATCGACCACAAGCATGCGGAAAGCGTCGAATCCGAGTGGTGCAAGCCTTTCTACAAATGCGTTCTAGTTTCAAAGTAGGTACTGATCATAAGGGGAATGATTTGCAAGGCACTCACTACAGTCGGCACCCACGAGCCTCCTCCAACAGTCGCCTGCACCTTAGACCCATTCACAGTATTTCCTCCATAGATGAATCCGCGGGCCTGAATTATCCTTTCCAAACAGTAGGTCCTGAGGGTAGTGACGCGATCTTGCATGTCTTTCCACAAACCAAGGAAATCGAACGAGACTTTCGGCATGAGACAGCACGGACATGGGCAAGCACCCATATCCTTGATTGTCGCTATAAGAACCCTAAGATATTGATCAGTACTTCAACGAAAACGAGACGAAAATGTGTACTTTTCCGGATAATCAGCCGAGTAAGTAAATATGCGCGGAAATACCCTTCTAAATATTCCATCTGGACACCGGAGCACGATTCCGTGACGGTATGCATGAAGGAATTCTGCGTCTAACAGATGTTTCCAACACGCATGGAATAGATCTCGCCAACAATGCGCATGAAGGGCTGCCATGCCGCTTTTTGATATACGCGGCAAGCTGCTGAAGACATCCTTTATATTATCCGGAAGCTAAAAAATCTACTGTGAGAGAGATATACAGTACGGAAGGCAGATGACCTACAGAAGGTAAGAATCCCACAAGATGGCATGCACCAGATTTGGGTGCCGAGCGTGCATACTTAGTTAAATTTCCGAAATACAGATAAAGAGGCCAAGCCTTGGCCGTTCCGAAGGTGGCTAAATGAGTTGCGTCCGAAAAAAACATCAGTCCAGCGATAACGCGTTCGAGTGAGCAGCCAGGTTCTTTCGGCTGTTTATACAGGTCTTCCTGAGCTTCTAACCAGGAGTCGGAGGTATATAGCTCATCAAATACACGTTCTTGATGACCGTCCAGCGGATCCTTCCATAGACGCTTGAAGGGGAAAAGATGGAACGCGCTGGCTTGAATGTCAGCGAACGCGGAACAGATCACTGATATAAGCGGCCGGTAGTGAAATCCCGAAATGTTTAATGATCTGGCCTGGTCGTCTTTTGATTTGGAAGGTATGTCAAGCGCGACGTCCTTCTCTAACCAGTCATCTGGAAAAATAACAGGCCCCTTTTTTCCATTATTATCCAATGCACGCAGACTTCTCTTTACCGAAAATCCATCCAGGTCCTTGGGGTTGAAGTCTCTCGCTTGAATAACATCTTTAACAAGACGCGTGATTTCGGCCTCGGATTTTTGATGACTGCCGGAATTCATCCATGTCATCAGACGATAGACTGTCATATTGGAAAAAGGATGAGGTGGTACAGAGACTCTAGAAGATGAATCGGGCCCTTGAATATCTGTGCCAATAGTCATTGGACAGGAATCAGCTAGCAGTGTAGATGGGACGTAATTATCGGGTTCGAATGAGGGGCACCTAGGATATTGTCGACAAAGTCCGATAACGTTGAATGCTGTTTGAAGAGAATCACGCAGCGTCAATAAGACTCGTAGAATTCTGCGGGGCGGTGAATTGTGAGTTTCGGTCACACGAGACGGATAATCCCCAGGGGAATCTGAAAGGTTGATATCTTCATCGGCAGGCAGAATATCGACAAAATTTCTCAGGGCTGGCCTAGACGTGCGTTGAGAAGGATGTTGACCAGAGTCCGCTGATGATCCACTGAGTGAAGCAACCGTTAGTATGTCATAGGTCCAGGATTCTGCACGAATGCACACCTAGATCATTCTGGCCATGCTCAGGCACCGCAGTGATATCACAAGCATCTTCCGTTGACATTGCAACATCGAAAGTATCCAATTCCTAGAATACAGAAGTTGAGACACAGTGGTATGAGGGGTGCTGTCACTAGCCTTTGAGTTGATACCGGACTCAACTTGGGATGATGTGCAGAATGTCCTGGGTCCGCATCTAGCTATAGGTTTCGAGCGATTCGTCATTGTAAATACGATTGGTCGTAGCTGCGGGTTATCATAATAATCAGCCGATTTCAAGTTATGAGAATTGAGTCCGACTCAAGGGTTGAACCCAGACTCGGATTCGGTAGAGTGATCATGGCTTCGAGACATACGGGAGTAGTAGCTGTAGTGAGCCTTTGCAATACTTTGATCGACTCATTTGCCCGGTCCCTCCTTTTCTGCGAGGCTAACACGCTGGCCTTCTGGTAATGTTTGCATGCAGAACGATGTCTACTAAGTCCGCGAAAGTCTGTGTCCTTCTCCCAAGAGCAACGTGAGGCACCGCATGACACCGTGACCATTGAGAGAATAAAGATAATGAACAGAACCCAAGGTGATCGAGATAGACGCATTCCACTACAACCGTGACCGTGCCAGTGATGGAACTATGATGAAGACGGACTCCGAGTCAAACACCCATAGGCAGGTACTAAGTTGTCACCAACGAAAAAAAAACTATAGTTTGATTTGAAGTCGGACATTGACTCGGATATTTCCAAGTCGGGCATTGCCCGCGCCAGTTCTCCATAACGCTGAGACATGTCACAATCAGTGTCTCGCATTAAAATTTTCGTCGATTCATCCATGTGGAAGAGCTCACAACAGACACCGTAAACAAATGAAGGAAAGAAGACTAATAAGAGCTTCCAAAAATGATACAGCTACAATATCTGAAGGGTCCTGACATGTCCATCATACGTCGGACTTGTGCAATGATATCATCATCAGATGCTATCCTCATGTATTCTTCGCCATACTGCGCCAGTAGGAGTGCGCTGAACGGCTGTCCAAGAGGAATAATCAATCACGTTGCACTTACTGCTGCTCCGTCAGCTCCTCTTCGAGGATCACATCGGGTCCCGACCAGCGACCTCAGGTAAAAGGGAAGCACGAGCTGCAAATGAACTTGTCAGTCACTGTCGCAGAATGAAACTATGGTTTTCAGTACAGTACCAGTACCAAGAATTGAATAGCCGAAGAAAACTGCAGGAAAAAAAATTGAGTTGCTAGCACACATTGATCAATCAACGACGTACTCCAAAGCACAGCAGGTACACCAATCTCGTCTGTGAGGGAGTTGAACATGAGAGGTCTAGATCATTATCAGCGATGACAAATTGCCAGCCATCTTTGCCAATTTCATCTGTTGAACGTAATGTGACGCTGTACATTGTCAACATACAAGCCTCGCTGGCAAGAGCAGAAACCGAACATACCCTCGCTTAATGGTCCCAAACCGGTGCCAATACTTTCAAGACCGTATCAGGAGCACTCCTTCATGGAGCAAGTAGAAGTTGGACGCACCGCTCTGTCAAGACCAACACCATGTAAACGAATATCTCCCATGACCATTCGGATATCATCTCTAGTCTCGCCCAAGAATGTAAGCCCAAGCTGTATGCGCACGACGCCTGCAAACCATAACTCAGACTTATCCTCCAGCATTCGAATTTGATCGCAACTCACCTTTAGCACCATCAGCGCCGACCATCCACTTGGTATCGAAAGTCTCCAATATGCCGTTCTTTGCTAGAACAGTCGTGATACCTTCACCAGACTGCTCGAACGAACGCAGTTCTGTGCCCATCTCGACAGAGCACGAAAATTTCTCTAGGTGACGTCGCAGAATCACATCTAGGAGTTGCTGACCTATCAGCTTTGGAATGTGCTACAATAGGAGCAAATCATCAGCATGACTGCTCGAGAGATGGTTCTGTATAGTACGCACGAATGGTATCGTAGGGGTAGGTTCCACATGCCAGGTCACCAAAGATTCTGTCGCAAATTCCATTGTCCCGTGCTTGTAGGAACGGATTGTGAGGACGGGTTTAGTTGACTTCTGGGACATTCAGGAAGTTGAAGAGTTCGAAGGAGCGTGGCTGGATTATGTATTAAATGAGACTATAGGAAATTAGAGAAGTATTGGCATGACACACCCAGATTCCAGGACCACGCTGTCCGATTCGAGGGTTAGGGTCTTTGTCAATGATACGAACTGGTATACCGTTCAGGAGGAGCGTTAACGCTACTACCAGACCTGCTGGCCCAGTGCCTACCTAAGAAAGAGGAACTAAGCTGAGGGGCAACCATCCATTAATATGCGGTTCACTTACGACTAGTACGGGAGGATGAGTAGAATTCATTGTAGAGTTCAGAGGTTTTTGGGCGAGGACAATAATCAATGCCAGGAACATCCCCTTTGAGTAGAGGACCGAATGGTGATGCAGTGAAGGGATAATTGTAACACTTGCCACCGTTGGAGTGGTAAGCGACGGAGAAAGGGTTTAAACCTGGAAGTCGGAAAGGTGGGTAGGGTTTGGTGGCCAGTCCAACGGCAACTGTAGTAGTTTCGGGAAGATCAAACATCTTGATTTCCCAATAGTAGACCTCGTTCAATTTGGGTAGGGGTAAATTTGACTGCACGCGCGAGGCGGATGCAGGATCGGGAAGGAAAGTGATTTCCATGCAAGCATGAACCAAAGGTGAATTAATAGTTTCGTAGTCTGGCTCAAAGGACCATGCTGAGACACCCTTCTCCTGGATAGAAAGGAATTGAGATAATGTGATAATGTCGAACATTTTCAGAAACACTCTCGAGCCAGCGAGACTCCACGCCTTCAAAGCCTCCTTCCCCGTCTATAAGCTCCTCTCGACTCATGTCGGTAGGTCCATCACTGTCTCGCAAGACGATACCGTGTCGTCTTCGAATGAATGATATAAAAAATACTAGAAATATGAGGAGAATGAAAAGTAAAGTGGAAAGCACGATAAGCAAAGGCAATCATCATATGAAGAGAAGAGCATCTGGCGCAGGCTGTGAATTGAAGTTATCTCAGGCTTGAGGTCTGAAAGCTACCCAGGGAGTCGTCGATGATGTGGCTGATGTTGACGACGACCTGTACTTTTAGCAGTGGGCGCTGAAGTATGCCGCTCTCTGCAGACTTTGGTAGGTTGACAGTAACGGTTTGAAACACGTGGGTTATTTTGTGCGGAGCAAGGTCATGCGGCTGCAGTCACCTAACATAAACATCATAGTGACAATATCGAAGACTCAGAGTACTCATCCGAGGTTCACTGACTTGAACTACTAGTACATCATCGTTCATACAGTCACGGTTCTTTAGTACATGCTCAAGAAACACTGGTACTTGACATCCTGGTCAATACCACGGTAATGGTGCTTAGTAGTCAACGTTAACTACTAGTAGTAGTCCAAATCTCCTTTGTAGTACCAGCTGGGGAAAGTCGCGTTATACGTATCATGTCGGAATACTAGTGACAGTAGCACTACAAATTGATCATTGTTGATATTGATATTATTAAAGTGCGCTGTGTGCAACGCAATCAGTATTTGTAAAAGATATGACAAATCACCCTACCTTCGACTCGGATGGCCCGAGGTCACGGTACTGGTATTTTCCATCTTTGACTCTGCAAGTATGCTGTCCACGCACGCTTTCAAGTGATCTTCAGCATCTTCCGAGTCATCGTCCTCCAGAGGCAACTTCCGCTCAGCACATATCTCCTCCAGATAATCAAGTTGCAAGTCTGCAACTTGATAGGCAGCGAAATCATGACTGTACATAGTCACAGTGAAGTCTGCGTCATCTTCAAGCTGCTGCAAGGAACGTTTGACTAAAACCCTTTCGAAATAGGAAGCCTCTATCATGCTTTCAGCATATTGTTTAGCATAATTCTTGAAAATGGCTTGAAGAAGTACTGCGTGTTTCTCGGCTGATTCGAGCTCCCAAGCTGCGGCGAGAGCCCGTAAACGCTTGCTTTCGACGTCAGCTTCGCTTTGCGATGACAGCTGTATAGACAGTGTCATCAGGCATAGCCTTCATGCTTTCTTTGAAGATCTCTTTGCCCTGGTACAATGCTTGTCAATGTGACATGACCTGTGACTAGTAGATCATGCTTGAATACCTGATGAACATCTACCAGGCTAAGATCAACCTCGTTGCACTTCAGAAGATTCTTCGTCATGAAACGGTGTTCCAGAGCAGTAGGGACATGCCCTCCTAGTTGATAGGGCCTGAATTTGAGGCTAGCGCGCTTTGCATAAGACGACATATGGCGTGTTACGGGGGGAGGCCCTTTGGAAGTGATTGGGTAGCACAGCGTTGGCCACCACTACAAGATTCTTCAAATGATGATTGATTGGGGTTTATGGGGCCCATTATCCGACTATGATCATTGTCATAGTAAGGGCGCTTGGTGACATGAGGAGCATCATCATGATCCTGGATAGATTGCTTGGCGAAAATATCAGCAGGCACCCCCAACACTTTCTCGAAATGAACGGGACTAGAGACTCCAACTGGAGGAGGTGCAGAAATAACAGGGGAGGAGGACATGTTAGTGTGCTTGTCACGGTCTCGGAGGGGCCTCTAGCTTGACTTCCGGACTCAGAAGATATCAACTGGTGTCATTGGTGTGTGAGAGTCAGAGTTTCAACGACTGTAAGCTGGCAGCCCAACCTAACTATGTCAGCACCACTGCCTGGATCATAAGTTCACACAGAGAAAATGTTAGTGACATATTGGGTATCAACAAAACTTCCCAGTACGGTATCACTGTACCATATCTTTGTGTTTCAGATGCCGCGGAAATCAAATTGCTTTCATAGTAATATCAGCCACCGATTTCCAGTTAACATGTTCAACGTTGTATACTAGTAGGTAATGTTATATTTGGCCAGGGATCATGCTAGCAATTAAAAGTAGGTATAAGATCATACTACTTGTAGAAATAGTAGACAGTAAATGTGACACACTATTCGAGAGCTTGGATATTTTCCTTATCAGTGTCATCAGCTCGTGCCTTCTGTTTGCCTTTAGCCTTCCTCCGTGCTCTCGCACGTTCCTCCTTCATGTGAGCTTCACAAACACGAGTATGAAATGTGACCGCAGCACCCTCCGACATACCAACCTTCTCCACATAAAATCGGCTACCAAAATGCGCTGCAGTCGGCAGATACAATATGCCGCGCTCCTTCAGCATATCTCCATACCGAGGGAAGTCCATAGCAGGGTAGCGAGAATGGATGGTTGTGATGACGTCGTCAATGTCTTTCGGCGGTTCTTCATCGTCACTTTCTTCATCACTCTCCATGTAGAGTGCAAATGTCCTTTTAAGTGGTTGCGGAGCGGCCATAGGGCCCTGACTTTCAAGTTGCTGTACAGAATGCGCATCATTAGAAGCCCACGTGTTGTCGATGGCAGATGAGAGGTGAACATGATTATGGATAATGGGTGATATGAGCTCGGTTGGGATACAGTTGAAGCGGTGACGCAGTTCTTGCCTGACGTGTCTTGCGAATGTCATCGAAATAAGGCGTGTTGGGTAGAGTAGCACAGGTGCTATCCGGATCTCGAGTGTCGTACTAAATGATTCAGATGAATGAATAGTAGGCTTAGAGGCATATAAACATGCACATACCAGATGTTTAGCCCACTCCTGGAGGTCTTGGGTACATATCGGATAGTGTGGAGCGTCTGGCTGCGACACATCTACCCAACAAAATGTGTTCTCTGAACCTCCGAGCTGATGCTCAGCGCAACATAATCTTCTCTTCACATTCTCGAGTTCCTTCACGTATAGAAGGGATGGATCGGACACAATACCTGCCTGTGATTTGATTTGTTTTCCTTTTGGTACCGACATCTACCGCAAGAAGTTATTGAGCTGTCGTGTCACGATTGAGTCAAAAAAGAACTTACAGTGTTGACGATTTCAATCACAACCTTCTTCTTTTTCCGTCCAGACACCTGCTCCGCCCTCACAGCCTTGAAAGCGCTAGCGATGTCCTGGGAAGTCAAAAGGCGATGTGGTGGGTCCATGCAGCGGGCTGTAGACAGACGCCAACCCAAGTGCTCGTACTTCTTCGAAAGATTCATTGCGGCCCTCGTGGAGTCGAGTATATCTAGTGGATGGTCTGACTCGGCATAGAAGTTGTCTACATACGTTGTAGATTTGTCCTTGTCCATGGTATTCAAAGGAATGCGAAACTCGACTAGTGAGACGTGAGTATCTCGCATAAGTTACTCAAGACGATCATCAAAATTACCTTTCTCGAAAGCTTGAGGCTGCTCGGGTCTTTCTTCTGTATAGCTAGCCTGAGCTTCTGACAAATAGCACAACTGAACGGCGCGGATGCGGTTGACCTCTTCGCCAGTGACTTCGGGCAGTTCTTTACGGGCACCAAGAAGATATGCTGTAGTTTGAAGACGGGTGCGTCGGCGAGTCGATGGGATGGAATCTATGATATTATTGATATTGCGTGAAAGAATCTCCTGATTATCACGATCATGAGTTCTAGTATAACAGGCGGGGCTCTGAGTGTCGCTGTGCATCACGAACCAATGATACAATTAGACTTACTTTGCTCTTAGCTACCCAGTCTTTATATCATTTCAGTCTGGCTGTCGTGATGCAACTCGCCGAATGAAGAGTGATTGCCTAATAAGACTTAGTAGTAGTAATCCGTCATGGCAATGACTATGCCGTCACAGGGTTGTATGGTACCATGCCAGCCGGGAGTCTGGCTCGGCGAGTCCTCGACTTCGCTGAGCAGGCGACTCTGAGTGACCGGTTCAAGTTTTGTGGGGTATGACATGATGCTACCGCAGCGTTAATGCCTGAGTCAGTGGCAAAAATGTAAAAGATGATGGATCCCGACTTACTACTCATACTAGTACTGGTCAGTTGAATACCTTGAAACATTAGTACGTCACAGTTCAGCGTGGGCCATTACCCTTTGCCCAACTAGCGCCAAGTCGCTTTGGGAAGTTCTTGACATTCTATATAAGGTAAACCAAGTCTTTCCCGACTTGTAGAGGGTTCTCTTGTTAGTGGTTACATAAGTAATGCGGTGACTTTCAGGCTTCGTGCCAAACCTTAACAAGTTTAAATGCTATACTTAGTATCCACGGCTTTGACTCGGAATGGCTGTTGGAGGTGGATATTTAGACTCGATATCACCCCGCTACTTTGAGCGTATTAATTAATCACCGATTCTAGTTCTGATATACACGTTGGTCTGAATATCTAATAGAATGGTAGAAGTTGTAGGTGGCAAACTCATAAATCCTTCAGTGAATATAAAACGGAAAATGACTATCATACATCACTCCTTGCCAGGTAGATTGAGGTCATTAATATGCTGTTGTCCACACGGTGGACATTGTCGTCTTGTCCAGGATCGTGCTAAAGCCACCCCCTTTGGCTCGCAGCGCAGCCAATGCTTCAATCAACCATACTATAACAGTTATCACGGCCGGTCATGACTGTCAACGCGGAAGGCATGCAGCACCTATACTAGCATGATGCCCGTCAATAACTTGTGTGGGGGTGGTTTTTTTACCATTGGCCGGCCTGCAAGGCATAGTGAGACTGGCAGAACCAGCAAGAGTGCTACTAGCTTACTTTCTGCCTACAATGGCGAAAACGTAGAGCAGTAAGGGCTCCGTTTGAAAGGAAGGCCACACAAGCCAAGATAGTTATGATATTGACGATGGCATTGTCGGACCCTGAAGCAGGCGATAAAGATAGCTGCACCAAATGAAACTGTCATACTCATAAGTAGATCTAAACACACCTAGCGCCTCACTTACCCACAAACAAAAAGCAAGTGGCACTGACAGACAGATTGAGGGGTATGCTAGCCATAGCAGCAGCGCGATGACTTGGTATCGTGGCATGTGCTGTGCTGTGTGTCAAATGGTGAGCCAGCTTAAACAAACTCACTCACCTTGAGGGTTTCCATGTCTTTGTGAGCGGTACTAGTTTCATAGATAACAAGCACAGCAGAATGATTGGAGAGTTATAAGCCATCAAATGCGGCACAGGAGGTGGTGACGACAGGAATAAAGTAGTAGTTGCGAGCACGAGCCCGGCCTGAAGTCTGGTCATTGAACGCTAGCCGTGAAGTCAGATTATATGACATACAGTGACGTTTGTGTTCTGGAATCGATTGACCATAATTGAGACATGTTCCTTCTAGTCTTTGTTCTTTGTATCTTTCCAATGGTCGAGAGACTGCAATAACGCACAAGATTTTGAACGCCAACTTAAGGATAGGATTATTGGGAGCTCGACCGTATCCACACAGACGGAGAACTGTGCTCGGTAGACAGGATAGGCTCGAGGCTCTAGCGCGGAAAGATGCGACGTGGTAAAATGCAAGAAAATCTGAAAATGCACGAAATTATCCAAAAGTTAAGTTTATGCTGTGCTACGTGCTGTAAACTAAACATGAGATAATTGTGTTGTCTCGTCAGTCAAAGTTCCGGAGCCATTAATATGATTAAAGTCGGACAAGGTGAATTCATCACTTCCTAGAAAAGCTAGAGGGACACAATACCCAGTATGTAAATTGATATGATACCGCTTGTACGTAGATTGATCATCGGGTGCGTATAACCGGGCCAGTGAGCACAGAACCGTTACTGAATAATAGTGCTGTAAGTGCGGCCAGCTGCGATGGGCTCATGGCCTCCAGCATCCGCGTATAGCGTTCGAGATGAGTACGGTTAGTTTCAGGTATAAACACGCTTGCAATGTGTCTCCCCGTGCGGCGTTCTTCTAGTGCCCACCGGCAGAAAGTAGCCGTTATTGCGAAAAACGGCTTGACATTGAGATTATCCCCGATATACCGGTGATATTGGTGTTCACTGTCATGTAACAAGTATGACATTGTCGCGAGGATCACAGGGTTCGCAAAGGCAACGTTGACGACGACTCCCTCGACCTAAAAAAATGCAACTCGAAGTATGAGTGAATCATGATCAAGGGTAGTACTGTGGCACGTACAGATATTTGGCTATACAAAAACAGGTCATTCTCTACAAGACGTTGGACTCGTATCGCGCACTCAGCGATATGCAAAATGTTCAATGACACACTGTAGTCGAACCAGAGGTCATACTTGTGGTATACAAATGACCTCACCACCAACTTCACGTCGTCGAGTATCTCTACAAAGACAGGCTCGAGCTTCGAGAGCCGATATTTTTCGCCATTATCTAGTTTGCTTAATGCCCATTGTCGAAGCGATTCTGCTCCCAATCAGTTCCATACCGGTGATTACTTGAAATTTCGGAACCCTTACCATTGGTCTGGGATTTGTTCAAGACGTCCCACGAAGACTTCACCATTCGACGTAAAGAATCGGGCGAGGGTAGTAACGTTTGGCGAAAGGCATCCACTTTGACCATTTCTTTACACTGGCACAAAAACCCTGGAATGCCGAATGGAATGAGCCTCAATTCCGTCGTTGGCGCGCTTGAGCTCGTGGTTGCAGAGCTTTTGGTTTTGACGAGTTTGGTGCTTGGGTGTGACGAACGAGATGCCCCCCTGGATTCCTGGGGGCGGCGGCGGTGGGAGGAAGCGATGACCGAGTGTTGAGTGACATCATCAGCGTGATTAGATGGATGGGTGAGGGTCACAGTGGGTATGCTGGGTGCGGCCGATGTTGGCCCAGAGTTGACGAGAAAAGACGGGTTGAATGCCACCGCGTCACTTGCTACCAGACCTGCAGCTGAGATGTGGAGAGGCTGCTGCCACGTATCTAAAAAGCCTATTGTGGTTGGATCGGAAAAGTGTTTGGGTTTTGGATGGAAGAGCTGGTCCCGCCAGTGCAGCGGGTGTACAGAAGGCAAAGGATAGTGGATTGAATTCGTGATGGCGGCGGCGGCCAGCTCGTCCTGATTAGGGTGCTGATGCAATCGATGGTGTGACTGATAGCCACCCAGTATGGCAGGGTAGTCATCATCCTGGCGTTGCTGCAAGCCCCGTAATGATGATTGATCAGGATAGTTTGCGGCCTCGCTGGAAGGACCTGCTGGTGCCTGCAGTGTGGTCGCATCGTGATAATAGTCAAGATGAGGCTGAGACGGGTCAGGCTGTGAGACGAGTCAGGCTGAGGAGACTGTGGCGACCGACGTTGAGAAGTAACCGTATGATAGTTGTGTTGATAGTCATCATAGTTAGGGAAATTGAATGGATGAGAATTGGGAGGGGGTTGTTCAGTCGTATGTTGCTCAGGCTGATAATCGCCCTGCGATTGAGGCTGATCGCCCCAACCTGATAACATGGTTGGTAGCGAGTAACAGTGAAAGTAAATTACTCACCTGCAAACTTAAGTAAAGAGGGTGCGCACGTGAAGCCTGGATTGGATCGATCACAAACTACATAATGTACATAATGTACATGGTCTTGAATCGTTATGGTAAAGAAACTGCTATATATATATATATATATATATATATATATATATATATATGCATGTATAGAATTTTCAATGCTCAGCTGACAAAGCTAAACACGAACCTGGGACCGGATATCTATGCATGTATATAATTTTCAATGCTCAGCTGACAAAGCTAAACACGAACCTGGGACCGGACCGGGTCCCAGGTTCGTGTTTAGCTTTGTCAGCTGAGCATTGAAAATTATATACATGCATAGATATCCGGTCCCAGGTTCGTGTTTAGCTTTGTCAGCTGAGCATTGAAAATTATATACATGCATAGATATTCGGTCCCAGGTTCGTGTTTAGCTTTGTCAGCTGAGCGTTGATCATCAATTGGCGCTCGACACGGATTTACATCGTCAAGATTATTATAATCTAATTTAATTTTGAAACCGAGAGGAGTGTTATGATGGATGACTGGGCCAGCCTGAGTAGTAAGTCCTTATTTCATCTCATCACATCTCCAATGTTTCTGAGTCCATGGGTCAAATCAGTCGCAGACTCGCAGGCACCTGCCTTTCTTCCCTGTCTACGAGACCGCTCCGGCTGCAACCAATGGCAACTGGCTCAAAGGTAAACATTGACCGTGGCACACCCATGGCCTGGAGATCGAGTCATGCAAGGAAGAACTTGAAGGTGCGTACTACTAGTTGTCGCGTCATACTCATTCCGTGTGCTACTATATTCAAAAACTCGACGCTTCCAACCTCTCTCAAGCTCACCGTCCTCAGCCCCACTGGTCATGTCTGGACAATGGTCGCAGGCGGTGGTGCATCCGTCATCTACAGTGATCTCATCGCAGCCGCAGCAGCTGCCAGTGGTTTCGCATTCGAACTCGCCAACTAGTGACTACGGTGAATACTCTGGTGCCCCAAGAAAGGGTCAGACTCTCTTTTGATGATGATCCGTACTACGTACGTATCTCATCACTTCAATCACATCTAGCTAATCTAGTACATCTAGTCTACCTGCTCACGTGCCCGCCTTCAAGTTCTAGCAAGATCCTCGGTGAATTTCACCAACGTAGTTGCCACCTTCAAAGGTATCATCTACACGTCACGTTCTACAAAACTGAGCTCATTGCATGCACCGGCAAAGTCAAGATCTACTGGTACGTCCGTCCCAACATCATCTCTCATTGATCCTGATATTAACCCTGAAGGGCTTCTGACAAGACCCGATGTAGAAACAACAATACAATGAGGAACAAAAGAAGCTCCTGACTGTATCTGTAAAAGTTGTAAGGTCGCGCGCTGCCTAGTCTGCGTTACTTGAGAAGCAAGTGCGTTCGACCCTATAGGGGAAGTGAGTGCAGCAAGGATCTAGAAGTGTGCGCTTAAGCGAAGCGCGAGAAAGCGCAGGAGCGCGCAAGGTACAAAGGCGCGGGAACGCGCGCGCGTATTAGCGCGAAGCGCGGGAAAGTGCGCCGCGTATGCGGAAATGAGAAACTAAGCTTAAGTAGTGATATAAAGCAAGATAAGAGATATAAGAGTGCAAAATGTAAAGGAATAGCTTTCTACTATATTCTGCTAAGTAGTAAGTGGGTAGTAACTAGTAAGTGAAAAGTAGGAAAAGTAGGTCCAGTGTAGTATGTACTGCTGGCGCTTATATAGCGTGCCTAAGCGCGCTCATGCGGAGCCGAAGCGCTACCGAGTAGGTATGTAAAAATATATATGAGTGAGAAACTATGATAAAAATAAAAAGGTGGAACTATGCTAATAAAGGAAATGGAAATATACATACTAGGGAGCTTGGTGGACAGTGGATGGATGCATCTGGATGGCTGGTGCTATAGGGCGCGCAAGCGCGGGAATGGTGCGCGCATGGCGCGCGTTGCGTGGGAAAGCTGCGCCTCATATAGAGATAGCTGCGGGTAGCGCACAGAGTAATGCTATGAGTTCGTGCTGTATACTCCTTGGTGAAAACTACCATATCACGCCATGAGAGGCATGATTCTCTACACCGATATGATTACTTCACCGGGCGCGAACAACATTTTCTGGACTACTACCAAGCAAGGCAAGAGTCTCACTGCCTATTTGAGACCAATTCATTCAACCTCTTCGCTTTATATTAGGTCATCGACAACACTAAGTTATATCAGAACTTGGTCATAACTGGATCACTCAAAAAGGTCAAGACACCGCCTGTCATTTCGCGTGTTTCTAGATTGGCAGGAAGCACACTTTCTGGGCTACCGTATAAGGCAAGAACTCAACTGCTTATTTCAGACGAAACCATTCAAGCTTACATTAGGTCATTCGGCGTAGACGGGTATAAAAAACCTCACAGAAGCTTTCAACGCTCAACCTTCTCATCCTCCCAATTCTTTCTACTTCATCTCTGGTATGTCGATGCCTGAGAGTAACTGTGCTGGCAACCTTCCTGCTCCTACTACAGTGGTATCTCTTTGCGTCTCAACGTCTCCTCAAGCTAGGGCAAAGAGGAAAATTGCTGCCCTCGTGGAAGAGGTCGAAAATTTGAAGCAGGAGAAAGCGATAAAACAAAGGTGTGTGCGTTCTCGACATCTCAAAGCAGTTTTAATGTTCCCGATTGTAGAAAAACAACCTACTATGTTTCCCAGGGACGAGCACTTCGTAGGATGGTTGTTCTTTACTGCCCATTAGAAGATCTGGTTGCCGAGAATGACCGGCGTTGCAAAGACTCAGACGGCGACCACACAATCGAGTAAGCATTCATGTTCATGGTACCATGTTTATCTTAACGATGAACAGACAAAACTGCCTTCAGCGCGGCTACATTGAACTCAGTAAGACATTGCCATGGTTCCATGAAAAGCTTGCAAGTCTTGATTTCGAAGAGTCGGAGGATATGCTCAAACAGGTTTCTCACAGCATCTTTGTCACGCTTCTGTGCTAATTGGCAATGTAGCTCAAGCGAGGAGCTGATTCAGCTCGTGGTGACGACACGGGAACTCTCAAAGAGCTCGTGGCCTCATGGGTTAACATTGAGTGTCGTCCGCCTTCGTTTCTAAGAGCAGACGATAAGCACCATCGAGGTTTCGTGAACGATGCATGCGGTAAGCTACTCTGCCCAGCGGAATGGTGCTGGGAGGATCCAGTGTAAGTGATAATCCTCGTCACTTAGATGTTACTGATAATGTTATTCAGCGTCAGGGCCGGAATTCGTGACCGTACCACCGCTTTTATCGTTTCCGAAAATTCATGGCCTATGTTCATGTATGAAAATTATGAAGCCGATGCGAAGAATCTGGAGCGTGGTCTCTTCAAGTCCAAGCTATTAGTCATGGTCAGTGGCCTGATTTTTTAACTGAATTTTAGTTCATCGCATTGCAGGGCTTCAAAGCCATTTTCACATCTCCCTCCTCGGCCAATGAAGTTGATGGCGATGGCGATGGCATTGATATCATTGAGAATCACCGACGTGCCCGGAGACGATCAGATCACGCTAAAGTGAAAACATGTGTTGCCTCCATCATAGGTATGAGGAAGGTAACTCCTCGCGCGATCGCATATGCAGCTTGCCAGGTGAGTATCAATGCTTCTCTCTTACCATGAAGTTGAAATCGAATTATCCAGATCCGATTCGCGCTGTCCAACATCACTTCCTGGCGCACTGTTGATGGCGACTTCGACTATCAACTTTTTTGGAACAACATTGTAGACTTCTTCGAGGATCCTCCAGGTCCAGCTGCGCTAGCGAGGGTGAACAAGCTTCTCGAATGGTGGACCAGGTAAGTCATCGACCTCATCAGTGACTCACCTGGATTGCTAACCTCCTGTGTAGAAAAGTGTTCGGACGAAATCATCGTCAGGACTTAACACCGGATGTTATTCTTCACATCTCTGTCAACAGTCTCGCTTCCCAGAGACAGCAAATGGAGGACGCCGCATTCGACTCCAACTAGTTACTTGACGTTTTGCTTGCTCATCCCACTCTACACCTTTAGTATGATTAACATATCCTCTTTGTCCCGCTGCATTATTTCAGTCCTACAATACACCCTTGATTATCAATGTCATCATGATTTTAACACCTTCTGATTTATATGTGCGATAAACTCTATTTTCGGATATATGGTATAGTGTGTGATATGCGACGAAGCACGAAGCACGACACACTGATACACTATGGCAATTTTAACATGCGTGATCAGAATTTGCCAGTTGTGAGACTAGGATTGTCCTGTAGCGATGGCACAAGATAATTATTTGTCCTAACAACGTTGAATTATTTATGAAAAGGTCAATGCTCTGAGATCCGAAAATGACTGCCTAAAGTCCTAACAACTCTGCTGCTTCTTAGACTGTTAATTTAGAATGCTGCTTCTTAGACTGTTAATTTAGAATGCTGCTTCTTAGACTGTTAATTTAGAATGCTGCTTCTTAGACTGTTAATTTAGAATGCTGATGGTCCATTCAACGAAGCGTTATCGATAGCACACGGTAAAATAATCCCGAGCTGAGATGCCTGATTGCACAATGCCGACTTTCGTTATTCTCAAATCCCTGGGCAGGGCTATCTTCTCTGGCTGATAGAAAATTATCGTTTCCGTTCATGATAATAGTCTGGTCTCTGTTGCGACAACTAAGTACCACTGCAGCAAAACCTACAATTGGCTATTTTCGGAATAAAACCAGCTAACGCTCAAAAACTATAGTCAGGCTACTCTGAGTGTTACAAGTAACATCGGCTACATGGCCCCCCGATCATTTTTCCCCTTCGTCCTCGCCCTCGTATGCCTCCGGCTCATACTTCTCCAACGACTATCCGTTGACCGGATCCTCGGGACCGTTCCCGTCCCTCGTCTCCCTCCTATCGCACCAACGTGCGCACGTGCCTTCGGGCTATGACTCGTTCTGACTCGTGCCACCAATGTGGCTTTCCTTATCTTGTCTTATCTTTCCTTTGACTCGTGCTTGCTGCACATTGTATCATTTACCGTTGGCTCGTTCCAACGTTTCTCGGTCTCATTCCGCATTCGACCTTACATCACTAATCAGGCTCTGCTACCAGCGTACCTATACCCTTTCCATTTCCCCTTTGCCCTTACCTACAGTACGGTAGCCTTGCCCTTAACCCTTTCCACTTAGTATAAGTAGTCGGTCACTCTGTACTAGATTCCCTAACTTGAATCTACTCAATCTTCCCTCGAACATACTTCCCTCTGAAGCCCCCTCAGCTTCAGTCTCTAGTATCTTTTTCTTAGGTGCTCATCGCGCCTAAGTCTACCTCGATCGACTACTCATCGTTCGGACAAGACTGTCCTTACTTTGAGAACGTCAGTGACTTTGAAGACATTCGTCTTAGAAGTCACGTGACACGCGCGTCTCTGATATCTGCTGACTCGATGTCGCCAGTCTCAGTCGCTACACCGGACCCTTCCGGTTACGTCACGAACGTTAGCGGACGACGCCCCTCTTAGGGCTCCGCATAACAGATCTATTTGAGTGCGTAACACTGAGGTACTAGTGAGGTAGCTCAGTAGTTCATCAGATCTTCGGAAGTCTTGAGCTTGGCACGCCGAAAGGAGTGTCATTGTGAAGGCGCAAAATATTGCGCGAATTACAATTTAGCACTGCCACTGTGCATGCTTGTAGCGCTACATCAAAGTTCGAATCATCGACAGCCATGGTCGCAACCGAAAATTCTGTGCACTGAAGCAACATTGTAAACTTTTGATTTTGTCCGAAGGTATGATTTGATGCAATATTATGTTCCGGAAAGTTTCCACTAGGCAATTATAGATTTTTAGCGACAGACTAGGAAGTCTAATCATTGAGAAATAATATATACTCTGACATACCCTGGAACGGTATGTACGTTCTGTATAATGTATTGTTCTGTGTGACGGTCTACAAACATGCATTTCATTTGCGCGACTCTGCTACTTCTATTTCGTTGCAACTCGGCGTCCATCGTGCAGTGAGACCTACTCTAACACAACTTAGGACACCATCTGTACTCCATACAATATACCACTCAAAGCAACACTCATCCAACATTTAATCCATACAGACAAACTATCCATTGAGAAGTACTGTCTACTGTGACTCACATTTTTTATCTGAGCAAGTTATCCACGGATTCGGTAGTTATCTGCAGCAAGTAAAAATATAGTGTGCGAAGACCAAAAGGCACCCATCCTCTTCACGGGTGAGCATCACCCAAATATCTTTCACTTCCGCACACTGTAACCTCCTTCCTTGCCCTTGTAAGACTAGGTCCATATTAAAATGCATGAACCTGCGTTCGAGCGTTGTTTCTTAGACCCATCCAAGCAAAAAGGTCCTTGAGGCAAACAGGGCTACCAGGCCCGTGCGCTTGCAAATTGGTCATACCTCGACAATGCCAAACATTCCCATGTGAAAGCGGTCAGCAAATTTACACTGATTGTTGCGATGCTCAACAATATATTACTTTAAATACCATTCTAATTTGTTCACCAGTTCACTGATGGCAATCTCGATTAATACCCCACATCATGGACTACTGAAAGCTGTGATAGACATGGGGGTACAGCACTGGGAGAGTAAAGTTTGGAGAGGGGAGTTTAGAAAACAACGAGGTGAGATGCAGGAATCTAGAACAGCTGGGATTATATATCTGGTTGGGACATTCTTTGTTTCTTTGTTCGAGGGTGAAAACTTGTCGAGATGAAAGTACTCGTAACGACGATAAATCAGATGATCCAGTATCGTATATATGGACAAAGGCCTTTGTGATGGTTTTCATGGTTATTGAATATGAAAATATTGATGGCTGAATCCTTTTGTTTGTGGGGTAGCGACTCTACCGTTGCCCAGACGTATCAGGTTGTTTTTGGAATTTTCAATTTTAGTGTGAGATACTTTTACGCCGTTTTACCATCACGTGATGTCCGGGTTCGGCCGGATTTCTGGAACCCTTCTGCTTTTGGGGGCAGGCAAGTCTTTGCGTGCCGCTTTGCATTCTTTCTCATCGCCGGCCAATGCAATCTACGTTTCGAGTTCCTTTCGACGAACGATTTGCCAAACAAATCAAATTATTTTGTCGAGTCCTGCCAGCTGTGTGTGAATCCACGACAAAAAAACAAATCTATGAGGAGGACAGTGCTAGTACTAAGAGACAGAACTTCGAAGCTAGTTTGTGTGCATGCATGTGTGGGGGTGGTGAAATGTCCATGAGTCTTGAATGGTTGTGCTATGGATCAGTGTGTGCGTGCATGGATGGATGAGGCTTCCTCTATCAACTCTGAGTCAGGAAGACTGAATGCAGGTTGTGATTGTCAGCGTGAGGCGGATGCTCGGACCTCTGGCCAGCCGTTCTTGCTCGCTCATCTGGCAGTGATTTCTCTGTGTGCCTTGTGCCGGCACTGGATTGCATCGAAGAGTGGCTTGGCCCCACAGTTTGCTTCAGGGTACTCCTCCAGAAACATGTTGAACTCCGAGCGATCCGAAGAGACTTTGGCCAATGGATCTGAGATAGGAACAATGAGGGAGTAGACTGGTACAAGCACATCCCGAAAGAGCAATGAACGAGCGACATTTGATGTCGGATCGTGCTCAGCAATATTTACTTACAATTTTCTTTCCTACTCTACCCGCACTTAAAACACTCAATGTTTTTGTAGCAACATCTCAGTCCGTTTCAACAGCAAACCGGCAGGGTAACAATGTTTCATTCTAATATATTCAATAAGAAAATACTACTTACAGTATAAAGTCTAGTGCCCATGCAGACGAGTGTCTCAGTTTCTGTTTCCAGAGACTGAGACTAATCTTACCTGTTAGATTCTATCTGCGCATCAACTCTGATCTCCAGACTTGTCATGGTGTGAGTGGTGCTTGACCCAGCCTAAATGAGGCTTCTGACATGCCATGGTTGGGGCTTGACGTGGTGGCGCAGAGTATAGAGAATGGATCGAACTTGACAGGGAGGTCGAGGCTTGATGAGGTGGGACAACACTTGACACTCCATCTGAAAACCAACATAGATGAACGGATTAGAGGTGATACAACAATACAGGAAAGATGCATACTAGTAGTGTGGACAGAGGACAAGCACCACAAATTTGGTGAGAAGTGAATACAGCACTATAGAGCCTGTACGCACGTAGGCAGACACTCATACTAGTATGTTGATCATTAACTAAAATTCAAAGTTGTTTAGAATTTATTACAGTGTCACAGGCCTGTCATGACCATACACGCATCAATTTCACCTGGCCCAAGAGCTGACACACTTAAATGCCTATCTCTACTCTCACGCTGTCTGTCTCACTTTATGATCATCCTTGGGAGCTGAAAAACATGCTGTAGAAGGCCTGTTTGCAGTACAGTACAGCAGGAAAGACTTATGACAGTCTTTATCTTGGTTTCACCCGCTAGGATTTGTTGAATGGCATGTATAATATCTATCCTCAAAGTTCTTGTCTTCACTATTATTGACCTGCATCCTTGGAACGACAGATGACTTAATAGTAGATCTAGAATAACAAACTAATATTTGGTTAGAAAGAATGCAAAGCGACACACAAAGACTTGCCTGCCCCCAAAAGCAGAAGGGTTCCAGAAATCCGGCCGAACCCGGACGTCATGTGACGGTAAAACGGCGTCAAAGTGAAAAATTGGTCATGGCAAGGGTGGAGCTCGCCGCAGGCGAGCCGAAAAGATTCCAAGGGTTCGCAGGGGGTCCGACTTCCGAAGCCGGAAAACGATCCCAGGGAGTCTGGCGTCTGGCGTCCTGCGTCCTATGAGAATGATCATCCTCGGTTAACTCAGGGAGTCAGACTCAACGTTTCGACGGAGAGCAGCCATTGGCCCGTTCTAAAGGCCATATCTCCAAGGTGAGAAACTCTGAACTCGGTTTATTTTTTGTATTTACGGTAACATACTGACTGGTGACATTGAATAGTTAGTTACATGGATAGCTTTACAAAATGTCCACAACGTTTCGACGAAGAGCAGCCATCGGCCCGAGTCCTATCATTCTAAAGGCCATATCCCCAAGGTGAGAAATTCTGAACTCGGTTTTATCTTTTGTATTTGCGGTACATACTGACATTGAATAGTTAAATGATAGCTTTACAAACGCCGCTTACTCGCTACTCGCCAATTCAATCGTTCTCTTCCTCTTTAGGTTCCGTCTCGGCCTTAGTCTTCTTTGGCCTCTCGTACAAGTCCTCCGAGTCTGAATCTTCTTCCTCTTTGGGTTCCGTCTCGCCCTTGGCCTTCTCTGGCCTCTCGTACAAGTCCTCCGAATCTGAATCTTCTCGCAGCCTCTGATCCCTCAATTGTTGGATCTCGACTCTAGCTGACTCCATGGCAGCAATGCGCATGGTCCTCACCACCTTCTGCGTGTCTTTGTAGCTACTCACATTTTTGTAGATGTCTTGAATAACAGTGGGCTGAAAGCCCGAGCGGGTCGCAAAGGAGTTGATCTGGTCGTCGAATCCGACTTGCACGAAGCGCGCAATGTCTGCGGGATGAATCTGGATGTCCGGCCGAACTCTGACAGTGTCGTAGCTGCCGGTGAACACATCAAGCGCTTTCTCTGCGTTTGTATGTGTGCTAGTATGTGTGTTAGCTCTCCCTGCAGTAGACTTGCAGGAGGGAATATGGATGTGCGGGGCCATTGAGTATTGAACTACTGTGTAACTAGTAATTAGTATTTCCCTGAATTTTACGCGATCGGTGTGCACTCCAATAACGATGTGGTGAATTCGGAATTTCAACCCACCAATCAGAAGTTCAGACAATATTCTTTCAACGGCAGTAGCTCGCGTGCAGAAAATATATGTATAGCGGGGATCACGTCAAGACGTTATAGCGTGGTAGTTGTCAAAGGTCAAAGAGGACTCAGAACCCCCTAAAACACGTCTGTGGCTCCACCTCCACCAGTACTACACCTTCGCAGGACATGTCAATATTCGAGCCTAAAGTAGTCCTCAACCTCCTCAAAAACTCGGCAGCCGTCTCGCCTATCGATAAAAGTGCCTTTGAGAAAAGCTGGACTGTAAACGTAAGTTTTTCTTTTGGCCGTCAGAGACGTTGTCATTGACTCGTCGAATGACGGATTAAACACAGGTCGAGAAACGAGTCAGCATATGGAAAGAGTCCCGTAACCATAAGACCCACCCACGTCCAGAGTTTCAGTTGAGGTGGGAGGCCGAGGTCGTCGAATACGTGCAGTGCCTATGGGAAAAGAGTCGACCTCAATCAAAGAAAATCGAGCCTACACATAAGTTAGGCCTCAATATCCCATTGCTCGGGCCTCGATTCGTGCCCCCGTCTTACATACATATTCAAAAGCGCTCGGGACTCGGACATCAAGACATAGAGCCAGTAACACAGTACATCAAACCCTTCAATGTCATTCACCCGTTCTACTACCCACAGCTTGCCACCTGTCCTCGATGCAGCTCTGACAAGGAGACCACCTGGGAAGGGTGGACAAGCACAGGGCCGCGCGAACTCCATGGTCTTATCTGCGAAGAGACAGCACTCGGCGCCCAACTCCGATGCAATACATGCAAGGAATCAACAAAGATGAAGAAGGCAACCGACAAGAACATACCTGGAGATGCCGAAGATGTCCAAGCGCATCAACCAGCCAACTTGGAGGGCTACTGTTTTGCAACGACGAGCGCTGCATACTGGAGTTCATGGGAGCACTGGCAGATTCCTCGTGAGTTTCGTGCATTAGATGTCAGGAGCATCCACTCACCAAACGAACAGGCAACATCCCAATCTTTTTCTATCGCTGTGCCCTAACGCGTGATCTCTTCGACTTGCTGGTGGAGATGCGCCCGTCAACAACCTCTGCAGGGCTGGAAGAAAGAGTCAGACGTGAGTGCATGCAGTCTTTCTTTTTAGAAAGACACTCTTACCGTATTCGGTGTGCCGCAAAGAGCTCCACCTGTTGGAACACAAGCAGCGAATGCTTGAATACCTTGAAGTGTTTCAGATACAGCCCACCTGCAATGCAAATAGCAGACTTACCGACTATTTCTCTGGTAGTAAGAGTGCTGTGAAGACACTCCAGGCATTCTCGAGCGCCAGCGACCCGCTTGCATATGCTGACAAATCGATTTCGGGTGAGATTATCACAGAAGTCTTCCTAGACTTCTGCGCACGCACAAGGCAAAAGGAGAGTGGAGAATACCTGAAGACTTTATCAGGTTAGTTTACAGAAAGACTCGTGTGACCAACGAACCTAATTCTCTAACCTGGCAGCCATATGCGGCTCACTCGACAACACGTTCAAAGCAGCAAGTAAGGCCACACTTACCGACAAGGACCGCCAGAAGTCTAGGGAGCTGAAAGGCGGGATATTGAGTGTTTTGAATGAGGACAATCAGATCATTTCATGGGTGAGTTTCGACAATGACTCACCTAAGCTTTTCACTGACATATTCGTTCCATATGTAGCGCTTTTGCCAGACGCGCACGAACGCAGAGATAACTGAACTCCTTCAAGGTCTTAAGCACCGCCACGACATTCTAAACGTCCCCCAGCCAAAGATGATGGTCGCTGATAATTGCTGCCAAGTTCGAAATGCAGTGACCTCTGCAATGCCGGAGACAGATTCAAAGCTCGATGTTTGGCACTTTAGTGCGAGGTGAATGCCATGCATCTACTTCTACTTAGTGTCTACTTACTCAATGTGCACTTGAAGATACATCGCTGTCATGCTCCAATCGAGCAAAAGTCCTTATTGAGGCGCTGTCGCTGCTGACATCACAGGCGCCATTCTCAAGACGCATGCCGAGAAAGGTCAGCCTGCGCGATACTGGGACCGAGCAGAGCAGGAACGGAGGCTTATGGTGGCATTCAGCAAATGGGCAGACAAAGGTGTTTGGTCAGCTGCAGCGCAGAAAGTAAGTTTCATTTTTCGCTAAGTACCACTGTAATCGATCGCTACTGACAATAATGGCTCAGGTTCACCAAGAACAGTTGAAACATGTCCGCAGAGGGTGCCTCGAGCGCAGCGTCCAAGGCATCAGAGCTGATGGGAGTCGCATTGAGGGATCCCACAAAGGGTGGAATTCCCTTCAGCGAGCACAGCCAAGCGGTGTGACGATGCTCGCTGCCCTCGGCCATGATTTTGTCCTCCGTCGCAACGTGCGAGTGGCTTTCAGCAGGCCCGAACTCACGCCATTCCTCAAGTTCGCCAACGGTTCACATCACCTCCGACTCTGTGACTACATAGCGAGGCTTCACAACACGCTCCAGCAAAAAACTACTGACTCTCAGCTGCAGCTTCTTCCTGAGCTTGGTGACATCGACTCAGGCGAGACTTTTGGGTTAGTTATGTCAGATCATGTAGCGACATTCGGTGGTCTTTTGATCAAGGAGGAGAACATTGAGAAGGGCCTACTTGACTCCTTTGATTCGTCTGTTGACTCCACCACAGGTGAGGAAGTCGACCTTGCATTTCTTGCCAGTCGGAATGTCATCATCAACGAGTGGCAAATCGACCCCGCCCTTCTTACACTCCCAGCTGAAACTTCAAGACCAATGGTAAGTAACAACACCTCCATTCAACCCCCCCATATCTCATTTTTTTTCGTGCAGAAACCTTCAGCACCAAAGAGAAAGGCTGTCTGCATCTCATTGGACTCGGACGATGAAGGGGATGCCAGCGGCGGCACCATCAAAAAACTACGAACCTTAGCATTGCCCAGCACAGAAGTTCCTAGCATGGCCCCAGGTACTGGACGACTCGATGCGTACTTTCCTTCTGTGCAAGAACATCAACGGTGCAGCACACGAAAGCTCCCTCCCGAATTCTCGCAGGATCGCCCAGTGGTTGCCAGCACTGCTATCACACCCGACCAAGAGGTATGTGCTATCACACCCGACCAGCGTTACACGCGAAAACTCCCTCCTGAATTCTCACAGGATTGCCAGGTGATTCCTGGGGCTACCACAGAGGTATGTCCCATCACACCCGACCAGCGTTACACGCGAAAACTTCCTCCCTAATCCTCACAGGATTGCTCCAGCGCTGGGATTAGCAACGCAATTACCCCCAGCGCTGGGATTAGCAATGCAATCACCCCCAGCACTGGAGTCACCAGCGATCACCCAGTGATTCCTGGGGCTACTGCAGAGGTATGTGCAATCAACACCCGACCAGCGTTACACGCGAAAACTCCCTCCCGAATTCTCACAGGATCGCCCAGTGGTTGCCAGCACTGCTATCACACCCGACCAAGAGGTATGTGCAATCACACCTGACCAGCGTTACACGCGAAAACTCCCTCCCGAATTCTTTCACAGGATTGCCAGGTGATTCCTGGGGCTACCACAGAGGTATGTCCCATCACACCCGACCAGCGTTACACGCGAAAACTCCCTCCCGAATTCTTCACAGGATTGCCCAGTGCTTGGCAGCACTGGCATCAATAACTCGATGGCTATCGCGGCAGGCCAGACCCGGTCTCAGCGCCTGTTCTCCATTTCCACGGGTATTGATCCTCGCTCGCTCACCTTCCAAAATTCGGACGAGTTCTATCTATTTATGGAAATGCGGGCTGAGTTCAAATGGCTGTCATATCAAATGACTTCGAAGCGCTGGGTGCTGGCGACAGAAGAGTACAACCGCCGTCTCATCAAGAAAAAGGGCCAGTCAGTCGTCCAGAAGAACCCACAAGCCCTCCTACATGCGCTGGGTGACATCGAGCCGAAGCTGATGAGCAAAATCACCAAGAATGACTATACCTGTGAGTCCGTTTGCAAACACCCCAAACTACTTTAACATTGGGTAAACAGCACGCAAAAACAGTGAGTCATTTTGGCGCCGTCATTGTTCCGTCGTCCCACTTGTGAAGGAAGAGCCAGGCAGAAAGGTCAGTCACTTGCATCTGGTCGTTTGCACATCGTTCGCGCTGACACATCAACCATCATTTTATTTTCAAGGCTCGAAAGGCACAGACATGCTCCCGCTGTCAAACAATTATGTATCCAGGACCCGAGAACTCGCCCCTCAACCACAAGAAGGGGTATTGCGCAGATGGTGTCAAGCAGTCCTCCAAGGCTGCCGGCGAGGAACTGCCTCCCTGGCCTCAGCCACGAGGAATCTTCTCTGAGGGCCGAACATTCCACCCTCACGTGTTCCTGTTGACGGTCCAGCGCGTCTACGAGCACGTCTTCATGCAGGGACCAGGAGAGACGGACCTGCTCGAGACCGAAGCATTTTCGAAGCTGCTGATTTCATGCACCGAGGTTCACGAGTCGGATAACATGGTGCTTTTTCAACTGTTCAAGGGTTTCGTCACTGACCCAACCACTCCCCGCGACCGGATTGTCTCTCGCAACGGTGAGGAGTGGCTGAGGATTAACTACCTGCAGCAGTAACATTTTTTTTCGGTGAGTCGCGCACAGATTCTTTGAGTCGCGCACCGGTTACCCTGTTCTGATTGGCTCCCCCTCCCAGCTCCCATTCTCGCACTAACGAATTCCAAATATCCCCCCCATTTAATTACCCGCTTCCCCCGCTTCCCCCGCTTCCCATTCGTTGGATCCGTTCGTCCATTTCGTCCGTTCGTTCTGATCCGGCGTTCGTTCCGTTTGTCCGTTTGTTTCTGTCCGTTCCGTCAATGGCATTATGGTCCGTTTGTTCGTCGTCGACTCACCGTGTTCGTTTGTGAGTGGGCCTGCTGAGCAGGCCCACTCAACAACTTAAGACATTGCCGGAAGACAAAGATAGGTAGGGAGAACTCCGCCGAAAGACAAGATCGTAGGAGAACAGGATCAATGATATTATTCTGCCGAAGACAAGATCGTAGAGAACAAGATCAATGATTCCTGTTCGGAATGGGAACAGACACGGGGGCAACGCACGCTGCTTTGAGAGCTTCGAGCGTGTTAGATGTCGCCCCCCGCGCCATGTTCTGTAAGTGCGGCAAATCCCGGCGTCACGTGACCTTTGACCTCACGTGCTTTTCAAACGGTCCAAACGGTCTGTCGGTCTTTGAAAAAACGGTCGACCGTTTGCGTGAGAACCCTTGCCATGTCGAAGCTGCCGTCAAAGTACCCACTAAAATTGAAAATTCCAAAAACAACCTGATACGTCTGGGCAACGGTAGACTCTGTCCTGCAGGTGGTACCGAACGCAAATAATCGAGGTGTGTAATAGCAGATCCGGTTACGAGTGCTGAACCGGTCCACAAAGGAACGTCTCGGTCAAAATTGGATGGATGTTGTAAGGGATTCCTGTGTGGCAAGGGAGCTATGCTGATTAGGTCGATGTTAGGATGGCTGTTAGCTAACTTGTGTCGTTTTATACGCCTTGTTGATAGTTGAGTTGGTTTTAAAAGCGATGCAAAGTGTGGAGTACTCAAGCTTATCGTTGCTCGCAACGAACAGAAACTTCATCTCAAGAATATCACGATGAGTAAATGTCGTTTACAGCCATACGGGCATGCCCCTAGAGCGGGTTCGACATGATTGTAGCTAGCCGCCCAAATTCGATGCAACTTGTCAAGTTGCCAACTTCATCATCATAAATTCGGTCAACATTGTAGCTGAGCGCTGAGCCACTGCTGCCACCAAATGCTTAAAATTAAAACGCACATCACCGAAATCTTCAGGAGATAGATGGACACGCAACAAGTCACGCGCTTAATCGCGGCGAGCACTCCGACCAATAGCAAACTTGACTGCGAATGACCACGCGCCAAGTCATCATGGGAAAATTGAAAATCAAATGATGGATCCGGGACTCGGAGTAGACATTACTCCAGCTGGATACTGCTGAGAACGCCCTTAATGCTCCTCAATGCTCCGCAATACTCGAGCAACCTCCGAAGCAGACCGGAGACGACAGATACATCGTCATCAATTACGTTACAGCGAGTGAGACAGAATAAACCAAGGCAATCAGAGAACTGCGGCAGTCATGTCACAACGCGAAAGGTAAGGTTGATAACGTTGAAGCCCCCATCGTGCGAGACGCAATGAAAGCGCGGGAAATTACAAACATATAAGGCAACTTAAAAGGTCCGGTCTACCCCAAATCTAATGACTCCCGCAAACGGGAACTTCTCTTGAACCTTGCCTGTATCTTCTCCGAGTCGTAGGATGCCTCAGCCCCAGGGGCCAGGCTGGGCCAGGCGACACAATGTTAATGGTGAACTGACTCCAGCATCGTTACCGCATTCCAGGAAGCGGGCTGACATAGTGAAGCTAAGTATATAACACTTTCCTGAACCGTCCACCGTTATTTCCGACTGATAGGACAGCTGGAAACCGTGAAAATGGATCCTCATTCGTCTTACCCCTCATGAACACATGTATCGACAAGTGGGGTCCGAGCCTAGAATCGTATGTCGGTATAGCAACGTTCAATAATTGACCCATTTACTGACCATTAGGGATCCCCAGGTGGGCCGCGCAAATGCGACGGTTATACCATTAATTAATGCAATTCGATGGCGGCCAAGGGACCCTGCGGGATCAGCTTCGAACCGTCGTTGTTGACAGACCTGAGACATCCCAAAATTTAGACTTCTGTGTGAGTTCGGATGTAAAATTCTGCTTTTTGGATTTCAATACATTTAGGCAATTGGCTTCCTCTCGTGTCGTGTATTTCATTGATGGTGACGTGGTGATAGTACCCCAAAGGCACAACTAATCATCCTCAAGTGCGTCCGTGGAGCTGACTCTTGTATCATCACAAGCTAATCTGTCTATCGCAGGAACAGCAGACATCGTGTATCGGAATACGGTCGATTGTGTCATAGCATGCCCCTGCATGCCCCCGTCCCTGTCGACATGAGACTTAGACAAGGGGGCATAAATATAGTCGAACGGGTATCAGTACCGTAATGCCGGCTAATCAAGGTCCATGATCAAACAATCAAACCCGCCATGAACGTTTTAAAGCCCCAGTCACACATTTATCAAGAGAGATTCAGAACTTCCCTCCATATTGTTGCTGTTTTACCATAACTTACATTGTGAACACTATTCCTGCGGATCACATGAATTCTATCAACTCTGAACACAACCAGCGTGACGAGGAGCGGCCGGAGGACTCGGTTTTGGATCTTAAAAATGTTCCAGTGCTAACACCAGAGCAGGAGAAGAAACTGTGGAGAAAGATTGACCTGCGGATAATGCCTATCCTCAGTTTGATGTATCTTCTGGCTTTCCTTGACAGAGGTGCGTAGTTATCAGGACCGTTGGCGTGGAATACTCCCCTCACTCTTCAACAGGTAACATAGGTAACGCGGCATTGGAGGGGATTGTCACTCAACTGGATCTCACGGGAAACAAATTCAACATTGTATTGGTACGTAATGTGTGGTTGTTTGTTCACAACATCACCAATCTTACAGCTGAATACAGATAATGTTTATCATAGTAAGTAACGTTATTCTGACAGGCATCGGATTTTTTTTTGACTTGTAAACCGTAAAGGCATACTGCCTGTTTGAATGTCCCTCTAAGTTCGTTTGGGACCCAATTTATTGGTTATCTGCGCGCTGACTGCAACCTCAAGCCTGGTTCTTAAAGCGATCAGACCATCCAGGCAAGTATTCATATTAACCTTTGAGTACTGTCTAACCGACCCTGTGTGTTTTAGATGGCTTCCAGGGATCAATGTAAGTTTTGCATGATGGCGGCTGAATTCATCTCACGATCACGATCAATAGTTTGCATGGGGGGTAGTTATGTGCGTCATTCACTCTTAATACATTCTAAAGTTACTGAGGAAGCCTATTTCCAGGACACTCAATGCTTTCGTGAAGACGTGAGATTGAGCAGTTTGTTTTGCCAATTTTTTTGACTTGATATTGACCTTACATTCCAGGTACCCTCAGCTTGTTGGAGTGCGAATCTGTCTTGGTATCACTGAGGCAGGTTTGTTCCCTGGTGTGGTTTATTAGTGAGGATAAGTAAAGAACTTTTGCGGGATATTGCTGATGGATCTGCAGCCTTACTTTGTGGTATCCGAGACACATGCTACAATATAGAAGTAAGTGTCCTGTATTTGGTTGTCCGCTTAGGATGTTGAAGTGCTCCGGTAGTTGGCTTGTTTTTTGGTGCTGCAACGGTTGCAGGTTTGTTGTCTCGCTCCATCATTGGGATTTTAATAGTGAAACAAATTTCAGGTGCTTTCTCTGGCTTACTAGCATTTGGGATTGGTTACATGGGTGGCATGGAAGGACTCGAAGCATGGTCCTGGATCTTCGTGAGCTCGTTCAAGGCCGATTTCAGAAGTAATGCTCAAAATCCATATGCAGCTGATTGAAGGCCTTGCAACGATAGTTGTAGCCATCATTTCTTTCTTTGGCGAGTGCAGCATGCGTTCGATTACACAAAAGGCTGATACGTATATGATCGTTTAGTGCTTGTCGACTTTCCGGAAACAGCTAAGTTCTTGACCCCAGAAGAGCGTGCTTTTGTTGTCTGGAGGAAAAGTGAGTGGGGTAGCAAATTTTGAGAGGGTAGATACGATTCAGATTTCTTACAGAATACGACAATTCATCAGTCGGTGAGGAAAAGAAGTTTGCTGCCAAGCACGTCTGGGCGGCATTCCAAGACTGGCAAGTAAGATGCTAATGGTTTTTTTTTGTTATGTTCGTGCCTCAACCAAGTCGTCAGATCTGGCTTCATATCCCCATTTACATGTCAATCGTCGGGCCTCGTAAGTGACACATCTCGGCTGTTCAGCGACGTCAGACGCTGATTTGATCACTCTTAGTGTATGGCATCACCCTGTTTCTCCCGTGAGTCGATTTTTAGATCTTTGAAGATGATGTTTAACCTATTTGTGCCAGAACGATCATCAAGAGGTCTGTCATGACAAGCTGATTGTGATTCACTTATTCAATTGCATTCAGCTTTGGATATAACACGCCAGTCAGCCAGTTGCTCACCGTACCACCATATATTGCCGGAAGTCAGTTTTTCTTACCTATCTGCAATCTCACGCGGTAACCTGTTCCATTTAGCTATCACATTGCTCGTTTTTGCACACTACTCGGACAAGTTGAAAATGCGATCACCCTTCATTCTTGCCGGCCTTACAATGTGTCTCATCGGCTTTTCGATAAACATATCGACCGCACCCGATGGTGTCAAGTATTTCGGGACTTACATCATTGTTATGGGAAGCTATGCATCATTGCCTGGTGTTATTTCTTGGTATATCATTATCAGCCGCGTCATGACCAAGGCTAACATATGGTAATCAAGGCTCGGAAACAATCTTTCCGGCCAGTACAAGAGAGGCGTTGGTATGGCCCTCGAAATGAGCGTTGGAAACCTCAGTGGTGTGGTTGCAGCCACCATCTATAGGTCGCGAGACTCACCTCGGTTCATCTTTGGGCGCAAGTTCATATTCGTCG